AGACCAAGGGATATAAGTACGGGACAACGGGGAAGAAAAAGAGAAGAAGCTAGAAGAAGAAGAGAAGAAGCTGGCATGGTGTAAAGGCTGAATAAACCACTTTGAGAAGAACACGTTGTTGTTGCCTCCTTCCTGCTGGTCAGGGGTGAGCGACAATGATTAGTGTACATCAGTGCCCGGGGAGAGTGAGTGTTCGGTGTGTGTTCACTGCTCTTAGACATCAGAGATCCTGTTGGAAGGGAATGTTGGAACATCCCTTCAGAACTCTCCTGTTCTCCATGAGTCAACATGGCCATGTCACATGACAATGGTTTGATTTTCTAAGATGAACAGGGTTAGGGCCCAATCCTGAAGAACAGGACCTTGGTGTGAGGAAAATGAGATACCTGAAGCTTCCCAGGGTGGTTTAGAAATATCTAAAGAGAAGAATCCAGCCTGGGGATGGAGCTTGGAAAGTGTCTGCAGTAACCCTATGTGGAGAGTGCCACGATGTCTGCTGGGACCAGGTGCTTGTGCTGTCTCTCTCAGAAGACTTGCCTGGCTGGCTTCTGGCCTGCTTGACATTCCCTTTTGGTTTCTGCTCCTCCAAAGTTCAGTCTTTGCTGCGAGGTGGGGATTGTCTGACCTCTGCTGTCCACTGTTTGTTATGGCACAAACTTACAGATAGTCACAGACTCAGAGAGGGCACTATTGGGGAGAGACCTTTCCTCCAATAAGAAATATATTTTACACTGTGATTCTAAACACAAAAGTTTCACAAAATAATTTTTACCTTTACTAGATGTTAGTACTCTGATATTTTCTATATTTTTAGATTTTATTTAATTAATAATAAAAATTCCGGTTGCAGTCTAATAATCCGATGTCACACTCCCAGGTTTTCTGGAATTTGAAAACATGAATTTAGTGTACTAAATTAGTACACTAGTCTTCCAAACTTCAGTCAGGGTATACCACTTTTGAACCTTTAGCCACATGCAAGGCCAATTGTTTATGGAATTCGATGATCTTAAAATCAATTCACTTACACATTTTTAAATGTCCAATATATCCTAAGTACACTAATGGTGGTATGACAAGTTTTAGGGCTAGTTGTATTTTTTCTCAGTGGACACTAAAATATCAAAACAAAAAAGTGTTTCTATACCACTTAACGTCACCTTGTACACCAGCAGTGATCTGCATTTCTCACTTTGGGAATCACAGATTTAGAGGTTTGTCCAAACACCTAATTTGACAATGGGGAAATGAGGCCCACAGAGGTGAGTTCACTCTTCTGAGGCTACCCAATAATCACAGTGCGTCAGTTTCTCAGTCAATGGGAAGAAAGGCGCTGTGTTAAGCCACTCCTGGCCAAATGCTGTGCTATTAGTCTTATGGCTTTTTGGAGAGAAGGCCCCACTCTACAATCTCATCAGAGCCCAGATATCAGTATATTGACACCTTGGCAGAGTCATTTTAAGCCTTCCTAGGTCCTTCTTACTTTTGAAGATACGGATTCATATTCTATGATGCATATTACAATTTATCCACACTGGGGACTGTCTTAGTCTATTTTGCATTGCTATAAAGGAACACTTGAGGCTGGATAACTTATTTTGAAGTTTGAAAAGGGGTTTATTTGGTGTAGAGTTCTGCAGGCTGTACAGAAAGCATGGTGCAAGATGCTGGCATCTGCTTCTGGTGAGGACTTCAGGAAGCTTCCACTCATGATGAAAGGCAAAGGGGAAAAGGCATCACAGGGCGAGAGGGAGTCACAACTATTACCTAGAGCAAGAGAGGAAGGAGGTGCCAGATTCTTTTCAACAGTCATTTCTCAAGGGAACTAAGAGTGAGAATTCACTCAATTTCATAAAAATGACACCAGGTCACCATGCCACGACCCAAACACTTCCCACTAGGCCCCACCTCCAACACTGTGGATCAAATTTCAACATGAGATTTGGAAGGGACAAATATCTAAACTATATCACTTACTAAATTCAATTTTGCTTTCTTTTTGTATTTTGAAGACAATAAATTTTTCAGACCTCAATCATTTTTGTAAGCCCTAAAAAAGTTCACAGGCACTAGGAATGTAGTGAAGTGGCCTTGAATCTGGTAAAGGAATCTGATCAGTGAATGCACACCAAGGAGCAACTTAATTACTACTTAACCTCTCTCTCCTAGTTTTTTTTTTTGTTTTTTGTTTTGAGTTGGATTCTCACTCTGCCATCCAGGTTGGAGAGCAATGGCATGCTCTTGGTCACTTGCAGCCTCGAACTGCTGGGCTCAGGTGATCCTTCTGCCTCAGCCTTCCAAGTAGCTGGAACTACAGGCATGTGCCACCATGCCCGGCTAATTTTTTTTTTCTTTTAATTTATTGTAGAGATGAGGTATTTCCAAGTTGCCCAGGTAGGCCTCGAACTCACGGGCTCAGGCAATCCTCTCACCTCGGCCTCCCAAAGTGCTGGGATTATAGGCATGAGTCACCGCACCTGGTTCTCCTAGTCTTTTAAAAGAGGAATGTGGATAGGCCATTGGCACTAAATATACATGTTTCCACTGGTGAAATATTTGCCATTCTGGTAGACTGGCAGGGGCAGTACCGTTACAGGTAGGCCAAAGCCATGTGACTGGCAAGGTGCTTTTACTCTGATATACCCTCAGACTTCTTGTGTGAGACAAACTCCTACTTGTTTCAGGCTCTTTGGATCAGGTTTTCTGTTATCTGCAGTCATGCAGTTCTAACCACAGAGGGTGATACTTAGGATGGAAAGAGTTTAGGCTGTTGATTAGAGAAGCTGAGGTAAAGATGACTCAACCCAGAAGAAGGTGGGTCAAGTATCAAGGACTTGGATACTTGTACTAACCATGCCAGGATGGCGGCAACAGAAAGAATGGAGGAACAAGAATTCCGGAAAATCTAGATGAGGACTTGAGCCAAATTCCTTGCTTGGTTCTTCCCATGGCTTGTGTGGTCTGGGGAAGGCTTATTCTGTCAATGGCATTCTTTCCAGTATTTTTAACACATTGAACAGGACATATAGATGACGAATTTTGTAAGCTGCCCTCAGTCTATATATAAATGAGAGGATTGTGAGGAGAATGAGATTTAGTGACTTGTTCCTCACAAGGATTTTATTTAGTTTTTCTTTTTTCTTTTTTTTAATTTAGTTTTTCAAACTCACTTGAAGGTATGTCACAACTATTACCTAGAGCAATAAATACAAGGGATTATTATATGGAGTCATTTAAGGCTCTCTTGGCTGGGAATGGAGGAATAGCATTGCTCTTCACTCATTATTGTACACACACATTATTGTACACTCATTATTGTACATATATGCTCAGCATTATATAACATGTCACAGGTACAACAGCACCGTGTTCCTTTAGAGCTTCCAAGAGAGGACAATAACACACAGGATGGGTAACATACTTATAACATGCAGCAGGTACACTAGCAATTATGACAATTTTCTTTAACAGAGAGCATGACTTTAAAGCTGTGGAATCTGATGGGTACAACAGAATGTATGGCAAATATCTTGTCATAGCTCTTTTCTTCATGTCTCTTGCCTTTTTTTTTTTTTGACATTCTCTTGCTCTGTGTGTGTCTCTTTGGATTTCAGTTTTGAAACATGAATTGGGAAGAGGAAACGAAGGCAAAACTTCTCTTATGAAACAAGAATAACAACAAAAAGAAGAAGCTACCAGGCTCTTATATCCATGCTAGAGAATCAATCATCAAGAAACCAGGGGTTTGACTTTTTCAGAGTAATGTTCAAACCAGTCTTCCAGGCACTATTAAGAAGGGGAGTAGAAGCAGTTAATGGAGAAAGGTCTGGAAAGATATATACCAAGTTGCTGATGTTAGTTATTTCCACAGGGAAGAAATAGAAAGAATTAATGATGTTATTAATTTTTTTCTTACATATCTTTGAATTATTTCACTCGTTACATTAAGCATATATTACTTTTGTCACAAAAAATTAATAAGAATACATTGTTAAAAAGAACTACTTGTTCATTTTAAAAACACTAATTAAGGGAGTGTTTGTATTAATACGTGCAGTCTGTTATGTTAAAATGAATTGGTAAGCTTGCCAAAGACTAAAATTCCAAAGGTTAATTATTAGATTAGAGCAGGAGTTTTATGAGGCAGCAGAAGTATTAGGGTAGCCTCTGGGGTTTTAACATTTCTCCTGGCCTAAGTCCCTATTCTAGGGGACAGCCCAGTGCAGTCCCCTGTAATTAAATGAAGTAATGAGGGTGGTGACTCCACAGAATGTCTGAAAATAGCAAGTACTCTAACTCACAATAAGATCCCACACAATCAGGGATGCAGACAGATAGTTAGATTTACCCCTTTCGTCCCCGGGGTAAAATCACACAAATTATTGAAAGCAGGAAGGGAAGGCTTCTCAAGCGGCAACATATCTCTTTCCTCTGAGAGCTGCTGCCCTGCTATTTACCAGGGGTCACTACCTCTAACCCTTAGGCCTCTTCACAATCCTGCTATGCTGAAGTCGGGCACTTCCTCAACAGACCATGCTCTAGCTTTCCAAGCTGCTGGAATCTTCTAAACCTTGGCGCTACTGACATTTTGGGCCCAAGGATTCTTTGTTGTTGGCGGAGGATGAGGTGCTCACTTGTGTGCTGTAGACGCTTAATGGCATCCCTGGCCTCTGCTCACTAAATGCCAGTAGCAAAACTTCTGTGCCCTCCCCATTCCCCTGCCAAACAAAAATGTCTGAAGACATTGCCAAATATCCTTTTAGGGGACAAAAATCACACTCAGTTGAGAGCCACACAGAAGCCAGAAGGATATTTTTAAAATGTAAACTGCAGCTGGGCTTGGTGGCTCAGCCTGTAATCACGCGCCTTTGGGAGGCTGAGGTGAATGGATTGCCTGAGCCCGCGGGTTTGAGACCCGCCTGGGCAGGCGAGACCTCATCTCTACAATAAATCAAAAAGATTAGCCAGGCATGGTAGCATCTGCCTGTAATCCCAGCTACTTGGAAGGCTGAGGCGGAAGGATCGCCGCAGCCCAGCAGGTCGAGGCTGCGGTGGCCGGGAGCGGCCACTGCACTCCAGTCTGGGCGACAGTGAGACTTCAACAAAAAAAAGTAAACTGCATCATGTCATTCTCTGCTGAAAACCCTCCAATGTTCCTATTGAGCTTAGGATAAATCCCAAGCTCCTGTGATTTACAAGACCGTCTTATGAACTTGCCCCGCCTACTTTTAACCTTCTGTCTTCCATACTACTTCCATGTAGTGCCTCTCTTGCACTTACTCCAGCCACACTGGTCTTCCTTCTATTTCCTGAACATTCAAAGCTTGTTCCAAAAAACAGAAAACTAAAACAAAAACAAAAAAAAACAAAGACACACACAAAAATCAAACCAAACCAAACAAAAACAACAAAAAACCAAAGCTTGTTCCCATCCACTTTTTGTACTTCCTATTTCTTCTGCCTAGAATGCAGTCTCCCTACATCTGTCTGGATTACCACTCTTCACCCACACATATCTCAGATCAATGCTACTTAGTAAGCAAGGTCTTCCCTGACCATTTTATCGTAAGAAGCCCCTTACTTCCATTCTCTATCACATTATCCACTAGTTTCCTTCAAAGGGCAATCACAACAGAAAACTTTTGTTTTGTCATCTGTTGTCTGCCTTTTTGCCAGAATGTAAGCTCCACCAGAGCTGGGACTTTGCCTTTTTCAACACTATAGCCCAAGTGCTCAGAATACAGATCATCTCTAACATGTGATGATTCAATATATAATTTTTCTACTTTACAATGGTGCAAAAGCAACACACATGCAGTAGAAACTACTTTGAGTACCCTATCATTCTGTTCAGTATTCAATAAATTACATGAGATATTCAACACATAGATCCTTCTGCCTCAGCCTCCTGAGTAACTGGGACTACAGGTGTATGCCACCATGTCTGGCTAACTTAAAAAAGCTTTTTTAGAGACGGGGGTCTGTGTTGCCTACTGGTTTTTAACTTCTGGCTTTAAGTGACCCTCCCACTTCAGCCTCCCAAAGTGCTAGGATTACAGGCATAAGCCACCTTGCCTGGCCAAAACTTTATTATAAAATAGGTTTTGTGCCTAACTGTAATTTTGCCCAAATGTAGACTAACAACAAGTGTTCTGAGCACATTTAAGGTAGGTTAGGCTAAGCTATGATGTTCAGTAGGCTAACTGCATTTCAATTTATGATATTTTAACCTCACAATGGGTTTATTGGGACATAATCCCATTGTAAATTGAGGAGCATCTGTAGTGCCTGGCACATAGTAGTTGCTCAATAAATATTACTCTCCTCCACCTTCCTCAAACCTCAGGTCAGGTTTTAATGACCTCCTCCCACTTTCCATTCCAAGGTTATTTTTGATTGTTGATAGATTTGCCTTCATTTTTAACTACATCTGACCCATGTTAAAAAGTGGTTAGCATAAAGGAAATACATGATTATTTTGAAACATAAACAAAGGCCAATTAATAATTCATGAGAGTCTGTTTCTTGCCCCTCAGGTTTTTCGCAGGCATATAATCATTACACGGGTCATGATTTCAGTTGGGTCTTTGTTTCTAAGTTTCAAGGGGTAAAGGTCTTTGGGGGTTACAGATCCCAAACTCACCTGGCTTAGAGGCTCAAACAGCCTTTTTGTTCAACAATCCAATTCATATAGTATCATGGGCGTGAAACCCTTTTGTGCTGGCTTCAAGTTAAAATAATTAACTGGGTCAAATGCAGAATGGTCCAAGGTGCAGCATGGTCAATACGTCTGAATTCAGAAACCGCAGCTTGGCTATTTCTTACATTGATTTATGGGCTGTTTCCACGAAACCAAAAATGATCGGTCCATCTGGCAGCTGGCTGGCTGGCAACTGGAGGCAATTCTGCCCTGGCTAACGGCCATGGCCCTTTAGTGGCCTCTGGGAAGCATTTCATCGGGCCGCTTTTACGTTCTGGCGGGCAGCCGACCTGTCTCGGCGGGCCGGGCTTTCCATGCGATGCAGAGACGTCTCCAGCCGCAGGGACGAGGCCTTGACGTGGTGGGAGGACGTTTCCGTGCACTGTGAGGACGTTTCCACGTGCTGGGATGTCACCTCGAGGACCCGAGGAAGCCGCTTCCCAGAAGGGGAGAGGGAGGGCCCCTCGCTGCGGCATCGGGAGGTCTCCACCTGCCGGGAAGACGTTCGCACCTGCCGAGAGGACGTCTCCACGCGGTGGTTCGATGTCTCCACGCGGATCGTCGATGTCTCCGTGTAGCGAGTAGTCTCCACTCGGGGCGATGAGGGTTTGCCCCTTAGGGGTGAGGCCATTCTGCGGGTGTAAGGAGTAAATAATGAGGTCTCCGGAGACCTCACAGCCCAATGGTCCTCCTGAGTCACGCTTCCCTAGGTCACGACACAGGTTAAGAAATGACGTCACAATAGCGTGTTACGTCACTGCGGGCACAGGAGCAGAAAACTACGATACTGTCACAAGCTATAGCACCGCGACACGATGACGTGGAAGTACCGTAGTCCTTTGAAGGTTGAAATGCCCCTCACAACTCTGGGCCAGCCCCCCTCAGGCGTTCCCACGGCTCGGGCGCCGCCCCCTCGCAGTTGGAGAGCCAGCGCGGGCGGAACCGGGCTGTCCTGGGCGGACCCCGGGATGGGCGGAGCCACCGTCCTCCAAGCGCGGCTGTGCCCGCCCCGTATCCCACACTGCCCCGGGACCGGAAGGGGAAGAAGTGGCTTCCTGAACCTCCCCGCCACTCCGGGCGGTTCCTCTGTCGGGGTGGTGGCAGTTTAGTGTCTTTACTTGTTATGGCCGCTGCCGTCGCTATGGAGACAGGTGAGTAGCGCTCTGAGCCTCGAGTCTTCACGGATAGAACTGTCCTCGGCCCAGACCCTTCTTCCTCTTCTCCGGGACCTCCTTTCAGGCCTAACTCGGCAGGGTTAGTATTCGAACTGGGAGGGGAAGAGGTTTTTGTAGCGTCTGGAAAGACGAAGGTAGTCAGCTTCTTTTCATAATTTGGTTTGTTCGCACATCACTCCACTTGCCATTCAGACACCGACCCCACCGGCTTCCCAGCGTGGTCGATACTAAGGGACAGGACTTGGATCTTAAACCTTCTCCTCCTTGATTGGTTTTGTGCTTCTCACATGAGCTTGTGTAAGTTTGAAATGGTCGACAAACTTGCATTCTGCCACTAGTGCTTCTGTATACACACTCCATGATCTTTTACGTTTTTCGTAATCTCTTTTTCAGCTTGCATACTGAAATTTTTCCTGATTGATTTAGCACTTCGCTTTTGCGAAGCTAAATCACTGTTAACAATTGTTGTTACAACGCATTGTTAAAATAGGGGAATAACAGTTTTTACAACCTACCTCAGTAATCACTTAAAACTCCTACATAGTTACCCACAATTGGTAAGTATCCAGCTCCGTTTGTGTTGCTGTTTTCTTTGATGATTTCTCTTTAACTTTAAGGACATTTTAATCAGGGCTCCACTTTTCTTAAATTTCTAAGTAAGTTTTATCTCCTGTCACTCCCAGTTTAGGAAGACCATCACATGCCCTTTATACAGAAGTGTATCTCAGCATTAGTCAAGTTTCTTTATTATTGTTTCCTTACTACAAGTCAGTATTATATATAGTGACCTTTATTTTGGATGATTTTTGCTGTCTTCTAGATGATGCTGGAAATCGACTTCGATTTCAGTTGGAGTTGGAATTTGTGCAGTGTTTAGCCAACCCAAATTACCTTAATTGTAAGTTGTTAAGCACTTCATTGAATCGAGTAGCTGTTAATGATTTATGACGGAAGACTTAACAATTCAAAATAATATACACATTCTCAGTTGAATGGAATTACACTTATGCTGATATATAGATATAATTGAGCAAACTGGGACTTGTGTTTTGAATTCAGTGTGTGTTGGTGGTGGGGATGTTAATGTAAGTAATTCTTTATGTTAGGGGTCACAAATCATATTTTAAGGATTGGTTTGACCTACAGGTTTTTTGGTTTTTTTTTTTTATGCCTTTCAGTTCTTGCCCAAAGAGGTTACTTCAAAGACAAAGCTTTTGTTAATTACCTTAAGTACTTACTTTATTGGAAAGAACCAGAATATGCCAAGTATCTAAAGTAAGTTTAATTTTTATAATCTTTAGTATGTGTATATTTTATTATAATCCAAAACAGTGATATTTAACAGACTTCTTCATTTCACATTTACAAAACGCCTTCCTCTCTGACTTATTATTGCAGTAATCTACTGACTGGTTATCTCTACTTCCACTATTACCTTCCTCCCTTCTGTCCCACCCCAAACCAGAGCGAAACAACTTCCTAAACAGAGGCTAACTTCATCTCTTAAAATGTAAATCAGAAAACTTTACTTTCTTGCTTAAAACTTTTCAGTGGCTTTCTATTCCTTACAAAATAAAATCCAGTCTCTTCTGAGGGCTAAAGTTCTATATAATCCAGCTCTGTCTTGTCTGACCTTGTCTTTTACCACTCCGTACCATTTCACCCGGTTTCTGATACCAAGGAACTCACCATCTATAAATGTAGCAATTTAGCTATGGGCTGAACGTTAAAGAACCCAGAAAGGAGATACTTGTGAGGAAGGTGTTTCTGGGGTTTTCTGGAGGAAGTAACTTTATCTGAGTCATATATTGCTGTCTTTTTTAAGGCCTCTTAAGTACCAAGGACTGTGTTAAATACTTCACATCCTATAACTCATTAAAAAAAAATATAGATATAGATAGATGTATAAAATTTGCCATTCAGGTTGTTAAACAGACACTTTCATATGAAGACTTACTAAATTGCAGGAAGTATATTATAACTACAAGCCTATTGCCTTTTTAAAAAAATTTTTATTTTTTGAGTTGGAGACTCACTCTGTCGCCCAGGCTGGAATGCAGTGGCACGCTCACAGCCACTATAGCCTTGACCTGCTGGGCTCAGGTGATCCTTCTGCCTCAGCCTTCCAAGTAACTGGAACTATAGGCACGTGCCACCACGCCCAGCTAATTTTTTGATTTATTGTAGAGATGAAGTCTCACCAAGTTGCCAAGGCTGTTCTCGAACCCTTGGACTCAGGCAATCCTCTCACACCTCGGCCTCCCAAAGTGCTGGGATTATAGGCATGAGGCACTACTCCCGGCCCCTATTACCTTTAAATGGTAAAAAATAAACCTTGAAATTACACCTCTGCTTTGTTTTAACCAGGTAGTCAGAAAGCAAAAATGAACCTTTTTTAAAAACAATAGTTTGAGAGGAAAATGTTTCAAACGTGTTATTTAAGCTACTTTTCTGATCTATGTCCAATAACAATGGACTTATGAATCAATACAGTCTTGTGCTGTCTGCAGGACCCTTTGCACTCATACTGACTTTTTTATAAACAACCGTTTATTCATTTAATAATCCAGAAAAAAGACTTTAAAAAGTCAGGTAGTGACTTGTGTCTTATGTATGTAGATTTATAGGCTCAGTATTGGAAGCCTTAGCCACCATCAAATTCAGTCTTACCCACAATGTTGCTTAGTGATGGTCATCTACACTCTAGAGGTTTCCAGTGAACACATGTTACTTCATCAGGGACAGCTGATTCCATTGTTAGCCAGATGTTAGTTCTTCTTTATATTGTGATATACCTCCTTGTAGCTTTAACCTGTTGGTCCCTGGATTAATCCAGAAACAGTCTATGCCCTCTTGAGGTCAACCATCTTTCAGATATTTAAATTCAAGAGAGGTTGCAAATTAACCCCTGTTGATATTTTATTCAGTCTACACAAAGTTTTAGTTTTAGGTGTTTTTTTTTTTTAAGTAGTTGCCAACATCTAAAGATCAGAAAGTTTTATATAGCAATGCAGATTTCTAACTACTGTTTAAAATCTGGAAGATCTGGTAATCCCAGGTCTGCCTTCATTCTCCCAAGCCAACAACTGACTGGAGCTGAGAGCAGATTCCTTCAGCTAGCGCTTAAGTGTTCTAGACTTCTCATGAGTTCAGGTACCCTGTATATTTGGCAGTTGTACCTTATGCAGTTCCACCAAGAACTAAACATAGGCCTTCAGATGTGGTCAGGGTACAATGAGGCAAAAGTCTTTTCTTTGAGTATAATGTATATATACTTGTATGTATATACTTAAATACTTTTATTTATTCAACTAGTATACTTCTGTTAATTTAACTTTACTTTTTTGTGGGGGAGCTAGGGGGATCACATTGTTGACTTGCTGGGAGCTTTATTTAAACTAAAATCTTTCAGTTCTTATTTTCATTAGTGCAGCTAATTGAGTCCTCCATTCATATCTTATTTATTTTTAAAAATACTAAATGCAGGATTTCCCTTTTTACCTCTTCTGTTTTGTCATGTTGACTTGATTGTCTATTGAACAATATAATTCCTTATTGCCATCTAATGTATTCTGAGCATTGGCTTCTACAAAGTTTGATATGATAAATGTTCACTGCATATCTAAATTGTAGTTATTGACTAAATGCTACTGGATATTATTCTCTTGGTTGTCTCAATTTATTTTACAGTTGAAGAAACTGAACGTTAGCAAGGTTAAGTGCCTTGTTCAAGACCACCCAGCTGGTACTCACACCTTGGTCTTTTTAACTACTGATGCTGGCATGAAAAGGGATTTGCAAGAACAGGTGTGAATAGAGCATTGCAGGCTAAGCTGCCAACAGTTATAGCAACTGTGTATTTTAGAGTGTAGATAGCAAACCTTTACTATATAGGAAGGACAGCTTGGTATCTGGCCCTGCTAATCTATGTGTTTTTCAGATTTGCTTTGTTGGTATCATTTGCGAGCTTGTTAGAAATTCAGAGCTCAGGCCCCAGTCCAGACCTATTGAATCAGATATTCTAAATGTTAACATCTTGATATATATAGTCACAGTACAATGATCAAAATCAGATCATTCATATTAAACTATTCTCTAATCTACAGATGTCATCCAAATTTTGCCAATTGTCCCACTGTGTGTCTTGTATACAGTTCCAGTCTAGGCTCTTATGTTGCTTTTGTTGTTATGTCTTCTTAGTCTCCTTTAATCTGAGCTTTTTTTTTTCATGACCATGACACAGACTTTCTTGGTACATGATATAAAAAGTCACAATTTACTGTTTAGTTAAATAAATGTACATTTGTATGGGCTTTTGGACTCTTATTTTTATTCTGAGGATCATAATTATGTATTTTCTTGCTCTAATTATTCCAGATTTGGCAATTGGAAGCCCCTTCAATTAGCAGCCCCTTCAATTAGCTCCTGAATACTTTTAACATCAGTTTTTAGAACTTTTCTTTCTGGCACTACATAATGTTCCAGGCTCATCTTGTGCTTTCCCTGTCCTAGCCCTAGAATTAGCCATTTCTTCAAGGATCTATGGAAAAATGCTATTTGAAAACCATAGTCTGGGCATTAAGTGTGCTCACTGGTATCACATTGCTTTTGGGCCCTCTCAGCATACAAAGCTAGGGACTATATGTATGTATGTATGTATGTATGTATGTATGTATGTATGTGTATACGTGCACACACATATACATCCAATTCTATATCTGCCTGTGTATACATACATATGTGTGTGTGTGTATAATACTTTATATTATATATATAATATATATTATATATATAAAGCCATGAGTACATACTGATGTTTTTAGTTCTAGTTAAACACAGGATTAATTCTGACCTTCTCCTTTTTCTTAGCTATAACTCCTTTTCTGATTGCCAGAAGTTTGCCTTTCTTTATCCATTGGCTTTCTTTAGCCTTGCTCGGCCCCAGTATATACATAATTTCAGAATTGCCATATCTTTGTGGAAAACTAGAGTATATTACATGTGCATAGTCCTTTTTTGAAAATGACTCACTTTAAAATGAAACTTGTCATCACTATTGATAAGAAATCAGTAACTATCAATTAAATAATTACTAAAATAAAAAATTTTCATGTTCTTCATCTTGGAAACCATTAGAATTAGCATGGTTTATCCCCAAATTTTTATTCTTACCAGTTACTGTGTTGTGTGGTCTTGGGCAAGTTATCTTAATCTTTCTGAACTTAAATTTTCTCACTTTTGAAAAATTTGCTCAATGCTGACTTTAGATGACTAGCCTTTCTGTATAAGCAGAGGGAAAATCCCTATGCCACCTAAGTGTACTAAGTTAATGTTATAGAAATAGTAGGCTACAAGATCATTTTTAAGAGAATAACTGAATTAGAATTTGGCATTGTTGACATAAGTTATGTTGATGTTTAACTTACAAACTTAAACCCAGGTACCCTCAGTGTTTACATATGTTAGAACTACTCCAATACGAACACTTCCGAAAGGAGCTGGTGAATGCTCAGTGTGCAAAGTTTATTGATGAACAGCAAATTCTACACTGGCAGCACTATTCCCGGAAGCGGATGCGCCTTCAACAAGCCTTGGCAGAGCAGCAACAGCAAAATAACACATCAGGAAAATGAAAAACTGGATGAGGCTCTTAAGACATGTATATAATGTATTTCTATTGTACAGTGAAGACAAAAAAAAAACTCTTCCTACCTACCATTATTGTGGTAGCACCTCGAACCTTTAGTGTGCTTTTTATTCCAACTAACTTTTTATTGTTAATAGACTTTCTTTTAAACCAGAATTGTTCTACTTTGATTTGTGAATTTGTTATTATTTTTAAAGTATTTAATGTAATCAACTGAATAAGACTGGAAAAGTTAGGTTTGTTAGACCAAATAAAGGAGGCAGTGGGGCATGGGGGTAGGAGAGGGCCACCAAATACACTGAACTCTAAGCTTAGCTCTCTTCCTGACATACACCTGTGTCTTGGGCAAGTCCATCTCCTGGAACCCTACCAACTCAGATTAGTTGTTCCTACCCTTTATTTTTTTGAGTCAGAGTCTGACTCTGTCACCCAGGCTGGAGTGCAGAGGAATGCTCATGGCTACCGCAGCCTTGACTTGCTGGACTTAGACAATCCTTTTGCCTCAGTCTTCCAAGTAGCTGGAACTACAGGCATGTGCCACCCTTCTTATCTATGCAGTGAGAGAAATGGAATCAGTGATCTTTAAACTACAGAGCAGAAACTGCATAAAGGTCCTAAATTCTGCCCAGAAGGACATGCCTATAATTACCACCTGCTTTGCAAGATGGCTTTAAGAAAGAATCCCTGTTACGTTACTGACCTAGGGATGGCAGGAAGACTAGTGATTAACTACTGGTTGGACCCCTGACCTTAGACTAGAATATAGATGAGCCTCAAATACTTGCTGCTCATTTGGGAAAGCTAACATTTATTTGGCAGATACCACCAACCAGGTACTGTTAAGTTCTTCCTTGAATTCTCATTTTATTCTCAGAACAATCCTTGTTAATAGGAGAGAACAGAGGTTTAGACAGATTAGGCTACTTGCCTATGGTTACACAGCTAGTAAGTGGTAGAATCACTGTGACTGTCTCAGACTGGAGTTCTTCCCACCACTAGGTTATAGTGTTGTCTAGCCTTTCTCTGCCACTTGTCTCATCCAAAGTGAAGCACACTGAGAAGGCTGTAAAACAAAACTGCCTGAATTAAGCAGAGGGTGAATTAGATGTACTGTGCTTTCCTTCAGTTGTTAAGTTCTACATTCCAAAGCCAAAGGAATGGGTTTCAGGAATATTGGTTGCTTTGCAAATTCCTAGAATTTAAGGTAAAAGATCCTTCTCCCTTTAGAGATTTGGGAGTTATTTGCTGTATTAGGGGCTTGTAGATATTTCTGTCACCTCCAATAATATACATTCCTCTGAGCTTTTTTTTTTTTTTTTTTGAGTTGGAGTCTCACTCTGTCGCCCAGACTGGAGTGCAGTGGCCGCTCCCGGCCACCGCAGCCTCGACCTGCTGGGCTCTGGCGATCCTTCCGCCTCAGCCTTCTGAGTAGCCGGAATTACAGGCACGCGCTACCACGCCCGGCTAATTTTTTGATTTTATTGTAGAGATGAGGTCTTGCCTGCCCAGGCGGGTCTTGAACTCGCGGGCTCAGGCAATCCACTCACCTCAGCCTCCCAAAGGCATAAGATTACAGGCTGAGCCACCGAGCCCGGCTCCTTTGAGCTTTTACTGTTCCTCCCAAAGATGTATTTTACTCATCTCTTTATAATATCCATATATTATAAGGAAACTAAAGGTTTATGAGTATTTTAATAGCACTTTCTGTTGTTTAGACATATACCAATTTTTTAACATCATTTATTTATTGGTAACATGAATTCAAAGCAAGTATACGGCTTTTTAAAAATACTAGAACAAATCAGGAAATCATGACACAATTGCCATCATCAAATGTTAATCTTCAGAGAACATCATCTCCACAAGGTTGGCCTGAAGACACTCAGATTCTACCAGTTTTTGAGGCTGTAAGAGAAGAACAGTCAAATCTTAACTATTCCTACAAAATGTTATTAGGAATGAGTTCTATCTTGAATGATAAATTTTTGAACACAGGAATTATGCCATTCAGAAACTTATTAACTAGTATAACAAGTTTTATGAAAGAGTTAAGATAATTGCCTTCAGCGGAATCACTAAAATACTTGGCTCAAGAGACTTAAGCTCAAGTACCAGGAAGCTCCACAGACTCAAACAGGAGCCAGCAAGCCCAGTGCTATCCCTTCTCCTCAGCTCTTTAATTTAGACTCTCAGGGGTCTGACTGAACTGGAGGAGGTGCCCTTTCTTTTCACAACTATGGATTAAATAGAAAACAACCATTGATGCAAGTGTTTTAAGGAATTATGAGTCAACCAACTTTTTGGCTATAGTATTTTTTTAACTGACTTAAAAACATGAAAAAAACTTAATAGTTAGATATTTGCATTATCAATAGTTTATTGGGATTGGCCAATAAACCTTGGGATGAACTCTCAACAGCACTCTGAACAGCCATGTGATCAAGATGATATGTCAAGATCTTTTCAAATTTGAATCCAGAACAAGTTAAAAGTTTCGATAGCATGAATTACAGCTCCAACATATGTTAAAAACATACTTACTGTTCCACATTTAAGTAGTGTAGGCACTGCAGTTACTTTCAAGTTTTTTCTGAAGTCATTATTTGGATCTTTCCAACTATTCCAAAAAGAAAAAGTGTTCATGAAATAAATTTACTTGTTTTATCACAGTTTACTTAATATTTGATATAGTCCTATAATGTTTTAATAATCATTGTTCTTGTAAACACTTAAAAAACTTTTAGGACTATGACTTAATCTATTAATTACCCTGTGCAAAAGTTTTCACTTAAAGTGTGACTGAAATATAAAATAAATGTTGGCTGGGTGCGTAGGCTCACACCTGTAATCCCAGCAATTTGTGAGGCCTAGGTGAGAGGATTGCCTGAGTCCTGGAGTTTGAGACTAGTCTGGGCAACATGGCATGACTTAGTCTCAAGAAAGGAAGAAAAGGAAAAAAAAAGTATTTATGTATATACATATACATATATAATACCAGCTAAATTCTGAACTTGGACCAGGCCAACTTCATTGAATTACCCTTACTTAAATGGGCATTTAAAATTTGTATTTAATAATTTGTAATTGTTTGACTTATCAGAAGTTGCCCTAGAACACAGAATCAGAGAGTCCCTCAGGGAATTTCCATGTAAGTTTGCAGGAGTCTAGGGCATGTCTGTATGATACACTACATTACCACTTACTAAGGTTTTTCTCCTACTTGGCAGTAGATGAACACACATCCTTCACTAATATGCTTCAGCCCCTCTCGTACGACTGGTTCAGCTTTTAAAAAAAAAGTTAATACAAAATGATTACACATCATCTCTACAATCAGCTAGGTACTGATAAACAGCATCCCTCTCCCCTCCCCCCACTCTTGGTAAGTACTTAGACTTTAACCTGCAGCTGAGGAGGTCAACAGAAGTCAGGCATTCTTTTCTGGTCTCAGAGCCGCTCTAGGGTAAGGACCAAGTAGTCCAAGTTCTAACTCGCTCCACCTCCGACTCCCTCACCACAGTGCCCAGAACAGTGGAAGGCATACATAATCTGCTGACTTACTGAAAGACCAAGTCACGTATCCCGTAAGACACTAATCATACTGGAGAAATGGTAAGTTTTAAAGAAGTACATCCCAAGATCACCTGGGTCAGGTGGTAAAAAGCGCTCTTGGCAGGGCAGGGAAAGATTTAATAGAGGACGAGGGGACCAAGACTCCTACAGCCTCCGTTCAACTCTGCTCTCTGGCAGTAGCTTTGACCTTCCGCTGGGCAGCAGCCCCCGAGTCCCGGCCTCACCCTGCACACAGTCTGGGCACCAGCTCTTTCCTTCGGCGTCCTTAGAACCGGTAAAATAGGCGAATATGGTCTTGCCATTGTGCTGCTCCACTGCCCGCTTGAACTCCTCAAAGCCGGACACGGTCACCTCTTCGTACCGGGCCATCGGGAGAGCGTGCTGCGATTGCGGGAGTTGTCCTCGGTTCCGGTAGCGGCGGGGCGAAGCTGCTTCCGGGTGGTCTCGCGCTGGGCAGCGTCTGCGGGAGCCAGCGCCGCTTAAGTGTACGGGAGCCTCCGAGGGCCATAACTCGTTCGCACTGCCTTTCAGCTCTCTTTTTCATATCTTTCTGTGCTAGCTCCACTCCCAAACCCAGGCCTCTGCTTTAATCTGGTCCCAGCCAATGGACACTGGCTGCAAAACTTGCCGTCCCGCAACACCTGGACCCTTAGGTAGTCAGGCACCTCAACGGCTCCCTAGCTGCTCGGCGCCTGTTGCTATGGCGACTGGGCGAGCGGCCGGAAGCGAGGCCTAGTTGGGGGTTCTCCGCCTCCCGGTAGCCGCGCCTCGCCACAGGCCAGGTGGGCTCGGGCCAGAGCTGGGGGGATTCTGGGAAGCTGCGTTAGGAGTCGTGGACGTGGGGGAGAGGAGACCTGGCTGGTGCAGACTTGCTGCTTTGTCCCCCATTATCTTTTCTGTCGTCCAGGCTTTAGGGGGCCTAGGACCGGGGGGCGGGCGTCGGGATGGGCGGGGGTGAGGGAGCTGGGAGGGAGGAACGCTGCGAGGGCCGCCGCTGAGTGTGTGAGGGCGTGTGTGGAGCAGCTTAGGGCGCGAGGGGCTGAGCCAGTGCCCAGGGCTGCGCTGGGAGACCAGGAATTGTCCTGGACCAGTGAGTGGGGCGGCTGGCCGTGGGGCCCGGGGCCTCGCCACGCTGCGCCGCGGCGAGCCCTCGGCCAAGATGCCGGCTCGCTGCGTGGGGCCCAGCAGATCGGGACGGGGAGTTCGGTGGCCGTCGGGGAAGAGGTGGGGTGCAGGCACGCCCCGCGGCCGTGGAGCAAGGCTCCGGGCGAGGCCCTCGCTGTGGCAAGCCCGCTGTGGGAGTGCGGGAAGGCTGCGGGGCGGGCGGCGGCCATGCGGGAGGAGACGAGCTGCGGGGACAGTCGACGCAGCCGAGGTTCCGGGAACACCTGCGACTGCAGGCTCCACTGAGGCTGCAAGAGACCCCGGGGCTGTGTGGGTGAACGGGGCTGTGGGGGCGCCCGAGGTGGTGGGGCCTGCTGGATCCGTGTGGGTGACCGGGCCTGGGGAGGAGGAGACGGAAGACAGGAGTCCCCGGGACTGCGAGAGGAAAGGTCGTCCGGGATCTCTGGGGCATGAGAGCATCCTGCAGCTGTGGTTGAAAGTGCAGGCTATGAGGGCAGCGTCAGGATGTGGGGAAGGAAGCAGGGTGGAGCTCCACCCTGTGCCTGCAGGAGAGGGGCCAGTTGAAAGGGGTGTCCCTGGGCGAGCTTCCTGGGTAGAGACATGCCGCGGTGGTCTTACAGGACCCTGGGTGAAAGGACAGGCTAGGGCGCTCCCCCGGGCCTCGGGGGTATCTACAGCTATGGGGTTAGGGGTCGGTTATGAGAGAGCCTCAGGTTTCTGTGGACAGGAACCGGCTGGGAGGGCACCTCCCCTTGTGGGTGTGCCTGAGGCTGTGGAGACAAATTCTGGGATCGCCCCACACCTACTGGGTAGGGGACAAGCCTTGGGGGTTCCTGGGGCTTTGGAGGAGATAGGCTACGGGGTTGCCCCAGGCCCTTGGGGAAAAGGACAAGCTATGGGGGTGCCTGAGGCCATGGGGTGGCCTGGGGCTGTCGGAGTGCCCAGCTCCCAGGAGGGAGAGCTGGGCTGTGGGGGTGCTCCAGGTCTGTGGGGGAGAGGACAGTCAGTGCAACTTCCTGGGGCTCTGGCACAAGAGGCAGTCTGTGGGGATACCCCGGGCTTATGGGGGAGAGGACAGGCTGCGGGCGTGTCTGATACTGTGGAGGTACCTAGAGCTGTGGAGGAGGAAGCTACCTCTGTGGGTGCCTTGGCTGTGTGGCACAGGAGACAGGCTGTGGAGGAGCTAGGCTCTGGAGGTATCCCTGACCTGTGGGGCCCAGGGCAGTATATAAGGGTGCCTTGTGCTGCTGACAATGAAACTAGATGTGGGGGCAACCCAGGGTTCAGGGAAAGGAGACAGGCTGTGTGGGAAGAGACAGGCTCTGGGAGTGAACCAGGGTCATGGGGAGCTGCACAGACGGCAGAGCTATCTGGTCCTGGCGAGCAGGAGGCAGGTTCTGGGGGTGTCCCAGGTCAGTGGGGTATTGAACAGGCTATGGAAGTAGCCAGGGCTTTGGGGAAGGAGCCAGGCTGTGTGGGTGTCCCAGGGCCGTGGGGAGTGGCACAGCCAGCGGGGGTGTCCCAGGCTGTGGTGGTACCGGGAGCCCTGGGAGAAGAGCCAATCCATGGTGGTATCTGTGGCCTGTGGGATAGGCAGCAGGCTCTGGGGGGGCCTCCAACTGAGGCAGTGCCAGGGCTTGTTGGGGACGAGGCACGCAGTGGGAATGTCCTGAGACTGTGGGAAAGGATGCAGGCTATGAGAGAGCAAGAGGCTCTAGTGCCTCCAGCTTTGGGAATCCCTGGGCCTGTGGATAGAGAGGCTGGCTGTGGAGATGTTTCGTGTCTGTGTGGGAGGAGGCAGGCTGTGGGGGTGTCTGAGACTGTGGGGATAGCCAAGGCAGCAGATGTGCCCCAGCACAGATGTGCTGCAGCAGAGGTAACCATGGCTCTGGGTGCACCCAAGTCTGGACGACTGCCTGCCAGAGTGCCTTCCGCTGTGTGGGTGTCTGGCCCTGTGTGTCAGGAAAGCAGCTCTAGAGATGTTTTGAGCCCGTGGGACAGGGCTCGTGCTGCTGGAATACCTGTGGCTGCAGGGAGACCCGTGACTGCAGAGGAGCTGTGGTCTGTGGGGGAGGCTAGTGGTTCTAGGACTTTGCCAGGATCATGGCGAAGGAGACAGGCTATTGAGGTTCCCCTGGCTTCCGAAGTGCCTGGACCTGAAGGGAATGAGACTGGCTCTGGGGATGTCCCAGGACCCTGGGGAAGGAGACAGAGTGTCAGGACTCCTGTGGCCACTGAGGTACCCACAGCTCCTAGGGCAGCTGGTCCTCTGGAGATTGGCTCTGGGGGCTTCTCAGGCTTGTCAGGAAGTAGGCAAACTGCAGGAGTACCTGTTATAATTGGTGGGGTGCCCATGGCTCCCAGGACGCCTAGGTCTATGGGCGAGGAAACTGGTTCTGGAAATTTCTCAGTTTTGTGGGAGGAGAGAGAGACAGCGGGGGGACTCACTGATTCCAAGGGTCCCACAAGGGTAGGAGTGCCCACTTTGGCCAGGATGCCTGGGCCTATAGGAGAGAAGACAGGTTCTGGGGGCATCTCAGGCTTGCCAGAAGGTAGACAGACTGCAGGGGTCTCCATGGCTGTGGTGCTTCCTGGGTCTGTAGGGGAGGAGACACTCTCTGGGGGTCTCCCGGGCCTATTGAGAACAAGGCAGACTGTTGGGATGCCTGTGGCTGCTAGAGTTTCCATGGCCATGGGAGTGCCCCCAGCTTCTGAGCTCCCTGGGCCGATGGTGGGGGATACTAGCTTGGGGGATGACAGCTCAGGCCTATGGGGAAGGAGAATGGTCACTGAGGTGCCCACTGTTGCCAGGGTTCCTGGGCCTGTGGAGGGGGAGGCGGGCTCTGAAGGTGTTTCAGGCCTGTGGCAGAGAAGACACAGTGGAGCAGTCACTGAGACAGGGAGAGTGCCTCTGCCCCTGGGGGTACTTGCAGCTGTAGGAGTTCCCACAGCAGGGCGTGTGCCTGCTGTGGTGTGGGCAACTGGGTCCACCGGAGAAGAAGCGGATGCGAGTGTCTCAGGCCTGACAGTGTTGAGGAGACAGTCCACAGAAGCAGTAGGGCCTTCAGAGGAAGAAGAGACAGGAGGTGAAAGTACCCTGGGACTGGCAGAGAGAACCCAGGCTGTGGGGGTGTCTCACACCTGTGCGCATGGATGTAGGTTATGGAGCTGTCCAGGGTCTGCGGGGGAGGAACCGGCCTATGAGAATGTTCTAGGAGTGTCAGGGACGAGGACAGCTGTGGGGATGCCCCCAGTTTCAAGGGAGGAAATAGACCTTGGCCATTTTAGAGATCACCCACACCAGAGTGGGAGGGGACAGGCTGGAGGAGTGTCTTCACTCAGAATGAGAGGAAACAATTTGGGAGATAATTATGTGGAGGAGGCCAGATTGAGGGGGACGTTCCAGTAGTTTGTGTGGGGATCAAGTTGGGGGGAGGTGTCTTGGGGCTCTGTGGGAGGGAACAGGTTGGGGGGAGGCTTGTTCTGGATTGTGGATGAAGGCCCAGGCTGTAGGGATGTCACAGGATGGATGAGAGAGATACTTTGTGGAGATGCTTTTTAGGGTATGTAGGGGGACAGATTGGAAGATTGCCTGGAGCAATGAGGAAGGGACAGATTGCTAGGAGAGGGGGGTGTTTCAGGACTTTGTATAGGGGAACAATTTAGGGGTGAGTGTCCCTGGACTTTGTGTGTGTATGTGTGTATTTGTGTGTGTGTGTGGCATCGCTTGAGCTATCCTGGAAGTGGGGATCACCTAGTTTTTTTCCTAGTGGAGAATGAACTGTTAGGCCTTTGGCTCATGGAAGTAACCAGGGATAAAGTAGCGGTCATGTAAAAGTTGCAGATGCCCTGGCCCCAATTCTGTAGATTCCATTCTGCTGCTCCAGCCCTAACCTGTGATGATGTCAAACCAGTTGGGATTCCCTTGCTCATGTGCCTCTTCCCATCTGCCTTTTTGGTCATGTGTTTGTAGCCTTAGAGATAAGGACTCCTGGATAGTTGTCTTTATATTCCTAAGATGTATCTGTCTTTAAGCAAATCCAGTCTACAAACTTTGAATTTATTCAAAAGCTTAAATTAGGGATTTTTTTTAAACCTTGAATTTCCTAATTGGTTTATTATAAAATTCTTTGAGAGAACAAATTCCCCAGTACATTTAAAACTAGTCAGTTCACAGAAAATCAGCTTATCTCAACAAATGTTAAACTGTCTACTATGCCGAAAGCACTGTGTTATGGGAAATAGAAGAGCAAGACAAGGCCCTTACCCTCAAGGAACCTTGTCTAGTTGGGAAGATGAGACATAGACCTGTGAAATAGGTAAATAACAATATGAGACAGCACTATGTGTGATTAAGTACCTGAGTGGCAGGGGTAATCAAGTGTCTATAAATTTATAGATGCCTTCAGAGTAGAGAGGCAATGATAAGGGTATAGCCCTTTATGCTTACTAAATGTTTTCAATCTATTATGTCGTATGCATGTGTATAGGGTGGGCAAAGGATGGGGGAGACTGAAAATTTAGATAGATCATTCAGCTAGTTAATGGCAGATCCTGGCTTGAAGCTAGGAATTCCAATCCTGCATGCTTACTTAGAGTTGTTCAGAGTTATGTCCATTGGACTACCTGATAGTAGCATACTGCTTTTGACTAGTGTTAGTCTTTTAATGTGGACTTTATGTCTATAAAACCAACTTGCTGGGATGTGCTAGTTTACCATAGCAAAGCTCTGTTTTTGGAATAATGTCTTACCAGAGACCCTTGAGACATAAAATTTGGAATGTGAAGGGCTCAAGAGATGATCATTAAAATAGTAAGTGTCCCTCTATGCTTTTGAAAATGAGAATTTCAAAAGCCTGATTGCTTTTATAAATGGAAGAAACTATCATATACCTATCTTTAAGCAATCACTTAGTTTGAGGTTGTAGGCTACTTCTGGAATATTATTATACAAGCATGGCATTGTGTTTTATCTATTCTGTTTCCTTATTTGAACACTATTGATCTGAAATTGCGTTGTTACATTTTAGGAATGGTTTTAGGGAAGACTGTTGCCCCAGTGACAAGGCTGTCACTATTGTTTTACACTACTTGACATGATGGGACCAGGCGGACCAGCTTCAGCCTGTGTTCACCTGGCATCTAGTACTCAACTAGATGGGAGAAGTGACCCCACAAAACTTCAGAACCAGGTAGGTTTTTTTCTTCAGATTTTTATTAGAAAACACTTCAAACATAAAAAGTTTAAATAAAAGGACAATGAACACATCTGAAATTACTTTCTAGGTTTAGCAGTTGTTAATTTTTCCTATCTGTTTTCCTATCTATCCAATCATCTATCTCTGTAAACATTTTACAGAATCATTCCAAAGTGAGCTACGGACATCAGGCACCTCACTTCTCAATATTCAACAATACTTCTCCTAAAAATAAACACTCCTATTTAATCATAGTATCATTTTCACACCTAAGAAAATGGACAAAAAAAATTCCTAATATTATCTGACAGTCAGTCCTTATTCAGCCTTACTCAGTTGTCTCAAAAAATGTCTTTTCCCTCAACATTATATCATGAAAAATTTCAAACACATAGCAAAGTTGAGTTATGTAGTAAACACCTAGATTCCATAATATTTCACTATGTTTGTTTCATTGCATGTCTCTTGTTTGCTCATTCCTCTAGAGATCTGGCCCTCAATCCATTTTATTTTTGACACATTTCACAGTCAGCTGCAGATATAAGTACTCTAACTACTTCCACCTGCTTATTAAGTACATTAGAATTTATTCTTTGATTAGTTATTTTTTTCTTTCAATGTAAATTTTATATCAGTAATGGTCTACACACACACACACACACACACACACACACACACACACACACGGTGCCAAAAAATGTATACATATTTAAGAATGGTCTACACACACACACACACACACACACACACACACACACACGGTGCCAAAAATTGTATACATATTTAAGAATGGAGCTGGGCTCGGTGGCTCAGCCTGTAATCCCGCACCTTTGGGAGGCTGAGGTGAGTGGATTGCCTGAGCCCGTGGGTTCGAGACCCACCTGGGCAGCGAGATCTCATCTTTACAATAAATCAAAAAATCAGCCAGGCGTGGTAGCGCATGCCTGTAATTCTGGCTACTTGGAAGGCTGAGGCGGAAGGATCGCCGGAGCCCAGCAGGTCGAGGCTGTGGTGGCCAGGAGCGGCCACTGCACTCTAGTCTGGGCGACAGAGTGAGACTCCAACTCAAAAAAAAAAAAAGAATGGAAAAAACTATATTAAAATTGTAATACTCAGTACATACCAATAACCGAGGATGAACATAAGTCATATTTGACTTCTGCAATTACAAGAGGTGGCTCAAAGCGGTTACCATTAGCATCCAGACACTTCTGATTACAGCAAACCTTGCTTAAAATGTGTGTACATTTTTTTGGCAACCGCAGTATATATATATATTCAATTGAAATTGCTTTGTTTCATTTTATGTATAAATAAAGCTGCACAAACATTCTTGTACAGATCTTTTTTTGAACATGTTTTACTTCTCTTGAGTAAATACCCAAGAGTGAAAATTCTGGGTCATTGGGTTGGTGTATATTTAGTTTTATAACAAACCATTTGACCTTTTTACAAAGTGGTGGTACAATTTTACATTCCTACTGACAATGTATGAGAGCTCCAGTTGCCCAAAACTTGCTATTGGCTTTTTAATTTTACCTGTTCTGGTGGGTGTGTAGTCCTATCTTATTGCAGTTTACAAAGAAATTTTTAAAATTTTTTGACATAATGTCAGAAAAGTTGCAAGAATAGTACCCAGAATTCCTGGATACTCTCTTCTCCCAGATTCCTCAAATGCTGACATTTGGCTGTATATCCTCCCTCCCCCTCCTTCCCTCCCTCCCTCCCTGTCTCCCTCTTTCTCTCTTTCTTTCTCTCTCCCTCTACACAAACACACATTATTTTCTAAACCATTTAAGAGCAAATTGTAGGGCAATCCCTTCGGGTCCCCTCCCACTGTGGGTGCTTTTCTATCCTCTCAATAAATAATGCTTTCAAGAAAAAAAAAAAAGAGTAAATTGTAGACATGATGCTCTTTTACCCCTAAGTACTTTTGTTTTTGTTTTGTTTTTTTTTTTTTTGAGTTGGAATCTCACTCTTGTTGCCCAGGCTGGAGTGCAGTGGTATGCTCACTGCCACCACAGCCTTGACTTGCTGGCGATCCTTCCACTTGAGCCTTCCAAGTAGCTGAAACTACAGTCACACGCCACCATGCCCAGCTAGTTTTTGTGATTTGTTTTTGAGGTCTCACCAAGTTGCCCAGGCTGGTCTTGAATCCCTGTTACCTCGGCCTCCCAAAGTGCTAAGGTTATAGGCTAAGCCACCACGCCTGGCCTACTTTTGCATTTTTGTGTATTTACTAAAAATAAGAAATTGCCTTTTGTAATCATAGGACAATTATCAAAATCAGGAAACTAACATTAAATTAATACTATCATATAATCTACAGACCATATTGAGATTGCTAGTTATCCTAATAATGTCCTTTATAGCAAAAGAAATCCCAAGATCATAAGTTGTATTAAGTTGTCATGTCTTTTTAGTTTCCTTTAATCTGAATGATTTCTGATTCTGTTTTTGTATTTCATGACATTGATGTTTTTGAAGAATATTGGCCATTATTTGATGATGCTTTTCTAAGTTGGGGTTTATCTGATGTCTTCTCACAATTACATTCAGGTTATGTACTTCTGCCAGGAAAACCACTGAAGTGATGCTGAGTACTTCTTAGTGCATCATATCAGGAGATATATGCTGTCAGTTTAGTCCCTTCACTGGCAGTGTTGACTTTAATCATTTGATTAAGGTAGTATCTGCTGGGTTTTTTCATTGTAAAATTACTCTTTTACCTTTTGTAATGTACAAGTATCTGTCTTTGACACTACATTAATGTCTTTTTACTTGTTAAATTTTTGCTTACTAGTTGTAGCATTCGTTAATGATTCTTGCTGAATCAATTTTGTTAGGTCACAATCCCCGTGGGGCCTCCAGAATGTTAGGTCAGACCAGATAGGGGTCTGTGATCTGGCACCATGCAAAAGATGCAAAGATTTGCACAGAAATTAGATTGGAAAATATAGTTTATTTAGAAAGTAAATTCGAGAGAGAGAGAGAGAGAGAGAAGAGATTCACCTCCCCAAGGCAGGGGAGAGGGCCAAAGCTTAAGGAAAACCTGGCAGCCGTAGCTCAAAGAGCCATATGGCCAGACCAGAGCTTAGCAAAGCAATGGCCAATGGAGGCTTGAGGTTGAATTCTTTTTAACCTTCCCTTTGATGGGAGCAGGTTGTTAAGGTGATTGAGTGGTCATCTGTTTCATATCATCACACACAGGGTAAGCACAGGTACTGACATCAGGATGATGAACAACAGGCAGATGGGTGGACTAGTCACATGACTGTAGTCATGGCACTGAGGTCTTTCTGTGTCATGAAGGTCACAAAGGGCTGATTAGGTTAACTTGATTTATAAAACAAGCTGGGGAGAGGGTTGTAAAACAATTACTGATAGCTACCTCTAAGAAACCAGTTCTGTCCTTGGCTAGTGACTAGAGGGTAAATCAAAGTGAACTACTGGAAAAACATGACGAAGCTAAGCAATGTTAAAATGGCTGCAGCTTGGCTATATTGACTCCATCTTGTCCTTTCAATTTTTTAATATGATTTTTGGCAAATGGTGATTTCCAATTTTACCCCTCCCTCTACTTTTATTAGTTGGCTTACTACTGTAAGGAAGAACTTTCCCTCCTCTTCCTATATAGTACTCATATTTATTTCAGCATAGACTTATAGATTTTATTTAGTCAGTAAGTTATAATCCTTTACTATTATTATTTATTTTGATGTTTAAATGATCTCTGATTTAGCCAGTGAGAGATACCTCATGCTGGTCCCAGTGTCTCTTTATGGTATAAAAAGATAATTCAGGCTCAGCTTGTTTTTCCTCTGTTCCAGCCCTGGAATTAGCCATTTATGCAAGGAACCTTTGTCCCTTTGGTGTAGAATGGAATTTAGAAATAAATATCTGGGGCTAGATATGCTTGTCGATAGTGGAGTGCCATTGTTTCTAGACCTTCTCAGGTTAGAACTGGGAAATAGATGTATATATTTATGTGCATGTACATAGGCATATACAGATTCATATGCATATCTGTGGCTCATATAAATTTATATCTCTTTATCTCTCTCCATCTCTTTTCTCATTCTCTTTCTTTCCCTTCGTTCTTTCCTTACTTTTTTATTTTTTATCTATGTATTTGTTTGGTTTCCATTATCTGTGATATGTATTTGCTCAATTCTAGAATGTGCAAAAAGTAGTTTCAGAATTGCAAACCATGCCTCTGCAAAAAAAGGAAGAAAAAAGCCTATAAATTAGAGTTTAAAATTTGTTTAGAATGCATTTGTCTTTAGCCTAAGAGCATATGTATAGTGTTTAAATGTTGTGTTCCAAAGTTACTTGGGTTGATTTTTTTTCAGCTTTACTGTAGTTATGTTATCCATTTGAAGTTTGGTTTGATTGATTTCTGTTAGTATTCATTTTTAGGCTCTTCCTCCATCCTTATGGATTTTATTTATTTTCTTTCTTCCTCTCTCCCTCTCTTCATTTATTAATTTCTTTCTTCCTTTCTGTCTCTCATGTATATGTGAAACATTAACATGGTTCCAAATATACCTGTATTAAAAGGTATATTCAGAAAGAGTTATTTACTACTCCATTTCTACTATGCTTTCTACCCAGGTCTCATTAGTCTCTGATTTTTCTTTACTCTGTTTCTTTTTGCACAAATGATCATGATGCATATAGATTTTCTCATGTTTCCCTTCTTTTTACATGAAGGATAGTCTTTTACAGATACATTTTTGTACTTTGGGCTTTTTGTTAAACAACATCCTGAGAAATATCTCCATATCAGTTCACAGAGATGTCATAGAGAGCGTCCTCATTCATTTTTTTTACATCTTCATAGTACTCCATTTTGTGGTGAATATACCATAGAGTTTCTACAACCAATCTCTTGCATAAACTACAATTTAGATTGATTCCAATAATTTGCACTTACAAACAGTACAACAATGATTAACCTTGTGCATATGTATTGTTGGAGGTGTATCCACAGGGTAAATTCCAAAAGTGAGACTCCTGGGTCAAAAGGTAGACTATATGTTTTGTTAGATATTGTTAGATATTGTCAAATTTCCTCCCATAAAGGTTGTGCCAATTTGCATTACCATGAGTACTCTGTGAGAGTGCCTGTTTTGCTACAGCTTCATCAACAGCATATATTGTTATCCTTTTAAAATTTTGCAGATCTTTTGGGTGAGAGATTGCGGGGGACCTGCCCCTGCAGAGATCGGGGGTCCCTGGTCAGTGAGACAGCGTCGGCAATTATACTGGAGGGATAGATATAAAGAGAAGGAAAGAGACTGGACTCCTGTCTAGTGCAGAAGCCATTTATTGGGAGTAACATTGGGTCTTTTATCCCCAAATTCTGCAAAGTCACTCTCACATGTCTTTCATGTGAACACAAAGCCAGGTGCATGAGGGGCATACCCCACCCACGAGATGTTCCTTCAGGCATGAGGAAGAACAAAACCAAAATTGTCTTTCTGTTCCTCATGCTTGGTTAATGTTCCTCAAATGCAATACCTTCTAAGAATACAAAGTTTCTACAATCAATAACCTAAAAATCCCATAACAAACGCTAACCTTAATCTATGACTGACCTATCCCATAAATCTTTTTCATCCTATGCTAATTTATACTAATGCCAAGTTAAAAGATTCAATAGAAACTTAAATACTGCCGGGCTTGGTGGCTCAGCCTGTAATCCCGCGCCTTTGGGAGGCTGAGGTGAGTGTATTGCCTGAGCCCGTGGGTTCGAGACCCGCCTGGGTAGTGAGACCTCATCTCTACAATAAATCAAAAAATCAGCCGGATGTGGTAGCGCATGCCTGTAATTCCGGCTACTTGGAAGGCTGAGGCGGAAGGATCGCCGGAGCCCAGCAGGTCAAGACTGCGGTGGCCGGGAGCGGCCGCTGTACTCCAGTCTGGGCAACAGAGTGAGACTCCAACTCAAAAAAAAAAAAAAGAAACTTAAATACTTACTCTACAAGCTAAAGTGGCCCATCCTAAAATGTTTGGAATGTGGCCCAGTCTAAAGTTCACAGTGGGCTACCTGCAAGTAACCTAGCCACATTCTTTCAACAAAATGACTGTCTAAGCTTATATTTCTCAAACTATATTCTACAATTTACACCTTACTCAACTTCAGTAAATCCTAAAATCACGACCCAGAAGCCTGTGACCAGTACTAAGGCTCTTAGATGTGACCTGATTTTGAACTGTAAGTTGTGTGAAAGCCAAAACCACAGTTTGTGGAAGAATGGGAACAACGAGCTTCTAAAGTTAGCTTGTGTTCGTCCCGGTCTCAGAAGTTTTTTATGCTTGAGCTAGCAGAGTTGTTTCTGGCTTTAGTGCTAAGTAAGAAAAGGGAGAGGAAATGGGGTCAACAGCTCCCATACACATCCTAGTGCTCTTGGGGTCCACGGCCCTCCCTGATCCCTAACGCTCAGTGGGCCTCCGTGGCTGGCTCCCAACAAGAGGTGATATTTTAGTGTATCTTTAACTTGTTATGAGATTGAACATCATTTTATATGTTTGAAGGGCCATGTTTACATTTTTTTTTGAAAATTGTCTAGTCATGTGTTTTTTTCCCATTTTCTGTTGAGTTCTGTTTTTTTTCCCACCTTAATTTTTAAGATTTTTAAATGTATAGAAACCATTTATATTTTCAAATAAAAAGTATAGGAATATGGAAATATGCTTCTGCTTGAATGCAAAACAAAGTTTGTATTTATTGTGAGGAAAACTGACCAAAACTTGAGCATGCATAAGAAGGCATAAATGGACTGTCTAGAGCAAGATGCACTTAGGGGCAGGATAAAAGTGGGATCTAGCCACCAGATGAAAAATCTCAGGAAGCCCTGAAGAAGTATCATCAGGTGGCTTAAGTCTGGTGTGACTGTGTGGTACCATCTGTGGAGCAAGTTTTAGGAAACTTTGATAGGAGCCTGGCATTTTGAAACAGGACAAGAGTTCATAACTGGGAGCTGAGGGGCTTACTGGTTGCTGCGTGAAACTTTCTGGGTTGACTTTTAAAGGAGGATCTCCCAGTATATTAGTAAACAGAAGGATAATCCTGTGAGACTGGATGATTATAGGATAGAAACAGGAATATGTAATGAACTCAAGGGTGTAGGATAGTGACTGATTCTATCAGTACAACAAAAAAATGCCTCTTAGCACTAATCTGGTAGGCAAAATTTTAGAAACTTGATAATAGACATACAACTTTGCAGTATGTAATTTTTCTAATGTCTGCTTTCTTTCATTTACTTTTTAAAGAACCAACTGCAGTTTAATAGGAACGTTCCTACACATCCAAGCAACTTGGCAATCCGATATTCTTGCCCACATGCAATTAGAATTGAAAAACTGAAGGACTCGTACAATGAATCATACCATTGTAAAGATGCAAATATTAGATTTGATTCTGGCCTAAGCAATTCTATTTCATTTTCCATCATATCAGAAGAGAGACTTAGCTATGCTGTCCACCTAGCCAAAAGAGATGTGAAACGAAGACAACTTGAAGAACATATAAAAGAATATCATTTCAGAAGTCAGCCCCAAAGCTCTCAGAAATGTGGACACACTAAGTATAAAATAAATGACCACAGGGAGGAAAGGAAGGAATCAAAGAGTCAAGAGCTTTGTCACTGCAGCCATCAGCCATCCAAAGTGGAAATCTCCAACTCAGGTGCCAAGGTATACCTGTATGCATCTCATCCAGGACAGTCATACTTTGCTGTGCCAAATTCACCACCCAGTCGGGATCCAGGCCTTCAGCCACATTCTAGGATAGGTGACCACACAAACTCAAGTGAACAGAAAAGTCTGCTAGAAGTCCAGCGACTCCAGAAAGAATTGAGCAGTTGTATCCACAAAATTGAAGAGGTAGCTAAAAAAGGTGAGAAAAATTAGATTCTTTGCTTTGACCTGATATTGTGAGTGTGGGGTAGTTCAAATGCATTCCTTGGGGAATCTCCCACTCTACCATCGATTCCATTCCTTTCTTCTGTGTGTTGGTTCACTAGAGTACAAGCACTTGTGACATGACAATTGGCCTTGGAGTTTAATTGTTGTCTTCTTTGTCTAAAGAATCTGCCCTGCCCTACCCTTCTTTCTGGCAGAGGCTTGTGAAAGAGCTTCTTCACTGAAGGCTACATGTCATCTGTGTACCAACTAGGAGTTGGTGTACCTGCTGTCTGAACCTTAAGTCTTCTGGCATCTCAGTGCAAATTATTCTATAGTGTTTTCCTTCTTTTTCCAGAAGTCCTTCTGGCAAAATTAATTTGCTCAGAAAAAGAGCATAATGTATGTATAGTGTAGATAAAACCAGTTCTGGCCTGACATGGTGGCTCACACCTATAATCCCAGCACTTTGGGAGACCTAGGCGGGAGGATCACTTGAGCTCAGGAATTTGAGACCAGCCTGGGTAACATAGGGAGATCTGATCTTTACAAAAAAATTAAAAAATTAGCCAGGCATAGTGGTACACATCTGTAGTTGCAGCTACTCAGGAATGGAGAGGATTGTTTGAGTCTAGGAGTTTAAGGTTGTGGTGAGCTATGATTGTGCCACTGCACTCTAGTCTGGGTGATAGAGTGAGATCTGAACTAACAACAACAACAACAACAACCCAGTTCTTACTTGGGCAGTGTTTAGATGAGTATGCCCTACTGACAAGGAAGGTTATAGGTATATGTTTAAAATGTCTGACCACTGGTTAGAAAGGAAGGACTGTAAGCATCGTATACTGTTTTCTACAATTCTTTTTTTTTTTTTTTTTAGTCAGATTCCTACTCTTGCCCAGACTGAAATGTAGTGGCACACTCACAGCTACTGCATCCTTGACCTGCTGGACTCAGGCAATCCTTCCATCTCACCCTTCCAAGTTGCTGGAGCCACAGGCATGCAGCACTATGTCTGGCTAATTTTTGTTGATTTATTGTAGAGACAAGGTCTTGCTAATTTGCCCAAGCTGGTATCGAACCCCTGGGCTCAGGTAATCCTGTCACCTCTGCCTCCCAAAGTGCTGGGATTTCAAGTGTGAGCCACTGTGCCTGGCTTGTTTTCTATAATTCTTTAGTGTGAGGACACTAAAGGGCCCTTTGATTTTCCTGGGGAGTAGAAGACCGATTCCATGTGGGAATGTAGAGTTACTGTAGCTAACAAGTAGGGAATCATACCCAGCTTTCAGACTGTAAGGAGTTCGGAGTTGAGCATCAAAAGGAACTGTTGTGCTAGGATAATATATAGACTAAAATTATCTTATGCATTTTTAATTTAATATGTGCATATGTGCATATTTGTGTGTTACAGAAAGAATTAAAGGTATCTTAAAAAATAAGTATGAACAAGATAAAACAAAAAATATGTACATGAAGATATTGTGGTATAGGAAAACATAAGGAAAGGAAAAAGATCGACCAGGGATGAGTTACAAATTTGTTTCTGAGCTTCCTGGGAGCCAGCTAAAGAGGGACCTGCAATTGGAGAATTTGTAAAGTCTAAAACGGAAAAAAAAAATGGTATAAGGAAAACAATTAGTTCATATACTAAGGTCAGAAGGAAAATTTTCCTGTGGGTCTTCTTCAAAATATATTGTGTAATATCATGAACAGTTAAAAAACTTTGCAATATTAAAATAACAGAAGTATAGCTAATTTCTCATTACATTCCTTAGTGTCAGCCTATGGTATGACTCTCCCACATACTTTGAGTAGAAGTCATGCTACCAGGGGAACGAAGCCACAGGCCCATTGCTCTGGTGATCTAGCCTATTACAGGGGATTTTTAAAGCAGAGCTTTCAAACTGTGGGGGAGGACTGAACTGGTTTATTTTATTTGTCTAAATTTCCAGTCTGTCACAGACCAATACTTTGTGAACTATTAAAATGTCACAGTAGTGGCAAAATTGCTGTTAAAAGATGTAAATGTGTATCTTCAATTTCTCTACTTACTTTGTCATGAGCTAATAATAGTTTGTGATGGTTCCTAGCTGCAGACCACCTTTTCAGTAGCCCTGAAGCACTCATTTGTGCTTCCTAAGTGCTGCTTTGTAGACTGGATACATCAGAATCATCTGCAAGGTGAGCAGTTAAAAACCCACCTAAGCCAGTTCCCATTTATAGTCATATCAGTATGTGAATCTGCATTTTCTCCTTACTGTGTAGTCCAAACAAGAGACAGAAGTAATTTGGCATACAGGCTCTCATGAGACTATCTCTGCATATACAACTCCTGAAAGCAAAGATTTTTGCTTTCTTCAAAACAGTCTTTTACTCTTTTCATTGTTTGATGTTTTAATGAGTAAATATTTAAAAATTGAACTTAAAAAATACACTTACACTAAAAAAAATTGCTATTGTCTGACTTGTATATTGGAGTTTTGTATAAGAATTTGTATAAACATATTTGAAAACCACAGACTAGAAGGAATGGATAGATTTCATCTCTTTTAGGCAATCTTCCAGAAACAATTTCTTTGAACCAATCTTTTGAAAATGTGGAGCATCAGTATGTACAAGGATTAGACACTCAATTTTAAAATAGAGATGCCTTACAGTGAAATAGCTATCCAGTGGGATTTGATTCAAGGAATTCTGGCATGGAGCGGGTGTTGATCAAGCTAATGTCTTAATGTCCCTTCCATCTCTGGGTCAGCATGTAGGCCCACTCATTGCTGATTTCTTGGCTGATGAAAATGAAATTTTTCAAGCCGGGCTTGGTGGCTCAGCCTGTAATCCCGCGCCTTCGGGAGGCTGAGGTGAGTGGATTGCCTGAGCCCGTGGGTTCGAGATCCGCCTGGGCAGCAAGACCTCATCTCTACAATAAATCAAAAAGTCAGCCGGGCGTGGTAGCGTGTGCCTGGAATTCCGGCTACTGGGAAGGCTGAGGCGGTAGGATCGCTGGAGCCCAGCAGGCGAGGCTGTGGTGGCCGGGAGCGGCCACTGCACTCCGGTCTGGGCGACTGAGTGAGACTCCAACTCAAAAAAAAAAAAAAATCAGCCGGGCGTGGTAGCACGTGCCTGTAATTCTGGCTACTTGGAAGGCTGAGTCAGAAGGATTGCCGGAGCCCAGCAGGTCGAGGCTGCGGTGGCCGGGAGCGGCCACTGCACTCCAGTCTGGGCAACAGAGTGAGACTCCAACTCAAAAAAAAAAAGAAAACGAAATTTTCGCCGGGCTCGGTGTCTCAGCCTGTAATTCCGCGCTTTGGGAGGTTGAGGTGAGTGGATTGCCTGAGCCCGTGGATTCGAGACCCACCTGGGCAGGCAAGACCTCATCTCTACAATAAATCAAAAAAATTACCCAGGCGTGGTAGCATGCGCCTGTAGTTCCAGCTACTTGGAAGCCTGAAGCAGAAGGATCGCCAGAGCCCAGCAGATTGAGGCTGCGGTGGCCGGGAGCAGCCACTGCACTCCAGTCTGGGCAACAGTGAGACTCCAACTCAAAAAAAAAAAAAAAAATGAAATTTTCTGTTACTGTAGCCTCATTTTTTTTCTTAGTAAAACTAATGATCTTCAACCTTATTATTTCTTAAGTAATTGAAATTGTTTTAAAGTTTTATGTGTATGTATTGTTTATAATCCACTTTTGGGGGAAAACTATTTTCAGATAGACTAGAAGAAGCTTTGGATCCAGATGAAGAACGTCGAGTCCATATCAGGAGACAGGAGCAAGCTGTTCGTTCTGCCCGAATGCTCTATGTCCTCCAGCAACAGGTGTGGAATGTTCAGGGAGAAATGAGGCAGTCAGCCTTGTGTATTGCTTTCTTAGAAAATTTCAGTGTTCCTTTTATCTCAGAAAGATTAGCACCAAAGTATTCTAACATGAATTCAAATAGAGTTGTGAGGCTGCCTAAATTTCCTGAACATGTGGACAAATAATTTTTTCTTTTTGTAATCTGGCTTTATATGTGTGTGTGTATTATATGTAATTATGGCCAAACTCCTTAAACAGTGTTACTTTTTGAGGTCATATACTCTTGAGAACCTACTAAAAACTGCCCACCCCAAAATGCTTATTATATTATACCACCATATTTTTGCATAGGAAGTCAGGTAGATCTGTTACCCTGGAAACCTTGGGAAAGGGACCTAGTTATTTCCTGTCTCATGTTTATGATGTACTAGAAGCTTGTAGATAGTAAATAATTTAGTTATATTCTTTATTAGCCAGTAAAGAATGAAGACCATGTTAAGTGTCTTAGGATACATTTAGTGGCAGATAAATGGGCATTTACATTCTTTACATTGCAATGAATTTTTTTTTAAAGTGGCTTATTCATTAAGCCTTTCACTCATTTTTGGTCACTGAAGTTACTTGTTGGCCTTATTGCTTGAACCAGAAACTGTATTTTTTCATTTAAAAAAAAATGTCTGCATTAGATTTTGCTCTATTTATTTAGGTTCTATTTCAGTTCTTATTCTATACTACTGCTATAAAGATTGTTCTAAAACATAAATCTTACCATGTTACACCTCTGCTTAAAAGACTTCAGTGGCTTTCTGTAACTTAGAGGAAGAACGTTAAATTCTTCTTTTTTTGAGTGGGGTCTTACTCTGTCACCTAGGCTGGAGTGCAGTAGCACAATCACGGCTCACCACAGCCTTGACTTCTTGGACTTAGGTGATCCTTTTGCCTCAGTCTTCTAAGTAGTTGAGACTACAAGTGTGTGCCACCACCCCAACTGATTTTTTTTAAAGATGAGGTCTTGCTATGTTGCTCAGGCTGGTCTTGAACTCCTGAGCTCAAGCAATCCTCCCACCTTGGCCTCCCAAAATGCTGGGATTACAGGTGCGAGCCACCATGCCCTGTCTGAAAGTTTAATTCTTTATTGTGGCACATAATACTCCATGATCTGGCCCTCTTTTCTTTCCAGAGCCATCCTCACCTTTCTTCCTTCATATTAAATTCCTATTACATTGGGGACCAAGGGATGGAAGGTGAACACTACTCTATTCACTGTCTTGAATTGGAAACTATTTTTTGAGTACATGAATGAAGAGCCTTTTCTCATTTTCAAGTGACTTGAATTAATAATGGTTATATTTGGGCAAGATCCAAATATCTTGTATCCTTTTCTACAAAAAAGATCAGTGGAAAGGTATGAGGTTTTCTTTTTTTCCCTTTATAAAACAGGTTAAAGAAATCCAGGAAGAATTGGATAAATTGAGTCCACATAAAATTAAACACACTAAGAAGGTATGATATGATACAATTGAACTGTAATTAATACTTATTTATAAATTACATTTCCCAATGTTTTATTAGTGTTGTGTGTGGGTTCTCTGCACTAATATTTTCAGTGCTTGCAAAAGCCTGTTAGTGAGGGAGTGAACACCTTAAATATTCTGAATATGGGATTGCCTTCCAAGGAGCAGCTTCTGAAAAATAGATTTTTGTTGTTTTTTGCTGCAGTGTAAGAAACTGAGACTAGAAAGGAAAAGACTTTGTCATTAGAAAACTTTATATTTTACAGTTCCCTTTACTATGAAAAAGTTTTCACAATAGGAAGCACTTTAAAGAGAAAGAAGATAGATTATAAATATTCTTAAAGGTTGAGTTAATGTTATGAAGTTCTGAATATTGAAATAACTTCTCACATCTTTTTTATTGCCAGTCAAGGACAGTGTCTAGGCTGGCGGCTGCCCATCGGGGAGCCATTCGGGCCTTACAGATGTTTGTCACTCAGTTTACTGACAGAGGCGAGCATCCAGTTCCTGCTCAGTGTAGGGAACTGGGCAGCCTTATTCGCCAGCTTTCACTTTGTTCTGCCAAGCTGGATTCTGATCCTTCTGTTCCTGATGTGGTTATAGATATTCTGCAACAAATTGAGGTATGAAATTGACTTCAATTTTTGTTAAAAGTGTATTGGAAGTGATGCTTACTGTCTCCTACCTTATTAGGATTTATGGAGAATATAAGGCAAAGCTGTTACCTAGTAAATTAAAACTTTGCAGAGGGTAGAAGAAACACTTCAATTTTTGTTTGTTTTGACAGTCTAGTCTATATTACTGTATTTCATTTCTTTGAAAATTGGTGATGTGAGTATGAAACACAACAACTTTAAATCAGGTTCATTAGTTAAGAAGAACGTTTCATTCCCTGGCTATGCCATTTAAGAAAAAAAATTTGAGCCAGGCTTAGTGGCTCAGCCTGTAATCCTGTGCCTTGGGAGGCTGAGGTGAGTGGATTGCCTGAGCCTGCGGGTTCGAGACCCGCCTGGGCAACTTGGTGAGATCTCATCTCTACAGTAAATCAAAAAAATTAGCCGGGTGTGGTAGTGCGCACCTGTGGTTCCAGCTACTTGGAAGGCTGAGGCGGAAGGATCGCTGGAGCCCAGCAGGTCAAGGCTGCGGTGGCTGGGAGCGGCCACTGCACTCCAGTCTGGGCGACAGAGTGAGACTCCAACTCAAAAAAAAAGAAAAAAAAGAAAAAGAATTCGGCCAGGCGCAGTGGCTCGGCCTGTAATCCCAGCATTTTTGGAAGCCGGGGCAAGAGTTTTACCTGAGGGCGTTTGAGACAGCCTGGGCAACTTGGTAAGACCTCCTTTCTACAACAAATCAAAAAATTAACCAGGTGTGATGGCCTGTGCCTGTAGTTCTAGCTACCTGGGAGACTGAAGTAGAGGGATCACCTGAGCCCAGCAGGTCGAGGCTGTGGTGGCCATGAACATGCCACTGCACTCTAGCCTGAGTGTCAAGAGTGAAACTCCAACTCAAGAAAAAAAAATTCATTAGCATAGAAAAGGAAGACAGCAAAGCACTGTGAAATTTGTGCTTAGATTAGAATATCAATGTTTAAGTGACTTTTAGAAAAGAAACACTTAAAGATACAATATATGGAAGCAGAACTTCAAATATTATGATATAATTAGAGACTTCTAGAAATCACAGCTGACATGTGCTAGTCAGAAATGGATAGTGTTCGTAGTTCTAATTGATGATGAACAACAATAGTAATATGCCCTTACCTGTATAGTTCCCTGAAGTTTGCACAGTGCCACCACATAATTATTCCTTTTGATCCTTAGTAATTGTAATCCTTAGTAATTGATCCTTAGCAATGTGATTTGCAATTGATTATTACTACTAATGTTATAGGTTAAATTTTTTCAAAAACAGAAGTCAGTGGGCTGATACAGATACTTCTCTGGAGATCTGAAAATCCAATTTCTATTTTCTGACTCTCATGTCAGTATTATTTGTAGTACATCATATGTTTTCATCCACAAATAAAAAAGGTGATCTTTATGCTAGTGTGACATAAGAAACTGTTAGCTGTGTAAAAAAGGTGGGGTAGTAGAGAGAATTCTGGACTAAATGACATGCCAGTTCTGGCACCATTAATTTGCTCTTGGTCTTTCAGGTCCCTTCTCTTACAGTTTCATTATTCAGCAAATATGTTTATGATTTGCATTGGTTACATTCGGGTATATAGAGCTGATTATCAGAAATGTTACCGTCAAATGCAGACCTCAGAACATAAGAAATATGAACTGATCAAAGTGATTGCATTTAGAGTACATGTCTTCATAATCCTAGAAAGGATCTTAAGAGACTATTTGGTCCCTTGCTCACATTTTGAGCTTGAGCAAGAGTACCTTTAACATAATGTTTCTTGGGTTTTTTTTTTTGAGTAGAAGTCTTGCTCTTATCACCCAGGGTAGAGTGCTGTAGTATACCCAAGGCTACTGCAGCCTCAACCTGCTGGGCTCAGGTGATTCTTCCGCTGCAGCCTTCTAAGTAGCTGGAACCACAGGCACGCACCACCATGCCCAGCTAATTTTTAAATTTATTGTAGGGATGAAGTCTCACCAAGTTGCCCAGGCTGGTCTCAAACCCCTGGATGCTGGCAATCCTCTCGCCTTGGCACCTCCCAAAGTGCTGAGATTACAGGCGTGAGCCACTGTGCCCAGCCTAACATAATGTTTCTTTTTTTTTTTTGAGTTGGAGTCTCACTCTGTTGCCCGCTTCCGGCCACTGCAGCCTCGACCTGCTGGGCTCCGGCGATCCTTCCACCTCGCCTTCCAAGTAGCTGGAATTACGGGCATACGCTACCATGCCCAGCTGGTTTTTTGATTTATTGTAGAGATGAGGTCTCGCTGCCCAGGCGGGTCTCGAACCCGCGGGCTCAGGCAATCCACTCACCTCAGCCTCCCAAAGGCGCGGGATTACAGGCTGAGCCACTGAGCCCGGCTACATAATGTTTCTTAAACAGAATGTTTTTGTCTCTCCTGTTTTTGAAAATACTCAATAGCAAAATAAATTTATTGTTATCTTTCTTGTTGCTGTACTATACTGTTTTATGTCTTGCTATCTTTTTTTTTTTTTTTTTTTGAGTTGGAGTCTCACTCTGTCGCCCAGACTGGAGTGCAGTGGCCGCTTCCGGCCACCGCAGCCTCGACCTGCTGGGCTCCGGCGATCCTTCTGCCTCAGCCTTCCAAGTAGCTGGAACTACAGGCGCGCGCTACCATACCCGGCTAATTTTTTGATTTGTTGTAGAGATGAGATCTCATCAAGTTGCCCAGGTGGGTCTCGAACCCGCGGGCTCAGGCAATCCACTCACCTCGGCCTCCCAAAGTGCTGGGATTACAGGCTGAGCCACCGAGCCTGGCCTTCTTACTATCTTTTTATTACCTTATTATAATCTGAACTAAACCTCTTCTGACTCTTCAGTTGTCCTTAATTTGTACTGACCAGATGAAGGCTGGGCCTTCACTGCCCAGTAAGGAGTAAATGGATACTTATTAAAGGAAATACATTTTTTAGGAAGGCAGGACACAGATCATCTGTCATTATTATAGTAGACAAGTGACCAGAGCCACTGGACTACTGGACCTGCTATTTTAGTTTACAAAGATGTGTCTTAAATATAGTGTTTGTCCACTTAGAAGACTCCTTGAGGTTATGAGGTTTTTACTGAGAATTAAAATGGTATTAGAGCATATAGGATTATATTCTGAAGACTGCAGTTAATTTCTAAAATGGTTATCCTTGATTTTAAGATTTGGATGCCTTTAAAAGTAGTTTTGCCAGGCGCAGAAGCTCATGCCTGTAATCCCAGCACTCTAAGAGGCAGAGGCAAGAGGATCACTTGAACCCAGTAGTTCAAGACTGGCCTAGGCAACATAGCAAGACTTCGTCTCTACAGAAAAAATAAAAAAGTAGCTAGGTATGATGGCATGCACCTGTAGTTTCAGCTGCTTGGGAGGCTGAGGCAGAAGGCGTGTCAGAGCACAGGAGGTGTCAGGGCTACGACGAGCCATGATTGTACTATTATATTCTAGCCTGGGTTATAAAAAAAAGTAGCCATATTCATTATCTCTTTGCTATTGGTTTTAGTGAGCTAAACATATAAAAGAACTTGCAGAAATCATTTTTCCAAATTAATTAGATGTCTTAATAAAAATTTAAAATTAACATTAACTATTAGAGACAGTCATTTTATTTTATTTTTGAGACAGAGTCTTGCTCTTTCCTAGGTTGGATTATAGTGTTGCAGTCATAGCTCACTGCAGCTTAGGACTTCTGGGGTCAAGCCATCCTCGTACCTGAGCCCCCTGAGTAGCTGGGACTACAGGCATGCATCACCACACCTGGCTCATTGTTTCTTTTTCGAGACAAGGTCTTGCTATGTTGCCCAAGCTGGTCTGGAATTCCTGGACTCGGGATCCTCCCACTTCAGCTGTCCAAAGTGGGATTACTGGGATTATAGGTATGAGCCAATGCACCTGGCTGAGATAGCTTGTTAATAATACATTTCTCTGAAGTCCTTATTTTCAGTTTTGTGATTGAAAGTCATGCTTTTGTAAGAGAATAACTGACTGTTTCATGGCAGGCTTTGGAATCTCTCCTGGAAAAGAAACTGTCACCAAAAAAGGTGAAGAAATGTTTCAGTGAAATTCGGAGCAGATTTCCTGTTGGTAGCCAAACAACCTTAGATACATGGCCAAGTACATTACCGAAGAGTGAGAGGAGACCTTTTGTAGCAAAGGAGACATTTCCACAGGAAAAAAGTCGACCTTCAGTGGCAAAGATGCTTCTTGCTGGTATGTGTCTTAAAATATTTATTACAAGATACTTTAATCATTGAAATTATCTGGGCTTTAACGGTTACTACACTGAAGGGAAAGTCAGGATTTAGTGCATAGTCCACAATAGATTGACTTTAACTGGGATCAGTACATAGCAACCAAGATACTTCCTTAGGCTGGAAGCTGGATATTCTTCCATATAGGAGCGTGGAGACAGTAAGATTTCCTTTTCCTTCATCACAGTGTTTTGACTACCCAGAGTAAATTCTTTTGGAGCTGGAAGTTGGAACCCTACTTTTAACAAGTTTACTATATTTTATTATTATTCTGTATTTAATGCCAACTTCCCCCTTAAAAGTGGGCATACAATTATGTTTTGACATAAGAATATATTTCCCTACATCCTCCCCAAGTACTACTTTATATAACAACATTTAAAATTTTTTTCAAAAATAGAAAAATGTTATCTTATTATCTTATATTACACTTCTCTGATTCCTAGTAAGGGCGATCATTTCATTCACATGTTCTTAGCCATGTTTATTTCCTGTTCTGTAGTTTGCCTATTCCCATTCTTGATCCCTTTTCCTGTTGGGTTATAAGTTTTTTGCTTATGGATGTATAGAAATATATTTGTTTTTATGTTTTTATATATATATAAAAGATCTTAATCTTTTTTCAGTTACATATATTGCAGATATTTTCCCCTATTTAGTCACTCATCTTTGAAATGTGTTTATAAAGTCCTTCCTGGTACAATTTTAATTTTGTGGGCAAATCATCCATCTTTCTTACGTATTGTATTTTAATATTTGATAAGACAGGCCTCTTTTTCTTCTTCTTTTTGAAAATTTTGAAAATAACCTCATTCCTTATCTTTTCTGAGGAATTTAGAATGAGCTTGTCAAGTTCCATGAAAAATACTATTGAGATTTTGATTGGTATTATATCGAGTTTATATAATAATTAGGGGAAAAATGACATTCTTACAATATGGAGTCTCTCCCTGCAATTATTCATGCCCTTTTTCCACCTCTTTATTTTTGCATATAGGTTTTATTAATATCTTGTTAAGTTTATTTCTAGTTTTTATATTTTATAGGTTTTGTTTTCTGCTTTTCTTTTTTTTTTTTTTAAAGGCAGATTCTCACTCTGTTGCCCAGAGTGCAGTAGCTTGATCATGGCTCACTGCAGCCTTGAACTCCTGGGCTCAAGTGATCCTCCCACTTCAGTCTCTTGAGTAAGTAGCTGGGGCTATGGGTGTGTGCCACCACACCCAGCTACTTTTTTTTTTGAGAAATAGGGTATGGCTGATCCTAAACTCCTAAGCTCAAGGCTGATCTTAAACTCCTAACCTCAAGTAATCCTCCTGTCTCCCAAAGTGCTGGGATTGTAGGTGTGAGCCACTGTGCCCAACCTATTTTATAGTTTTTATAGCTAGTATGAATAGGAAATTTATTTTCATTATGTTAAATTTGTTATTGCTACTTAAAGGGAAGTTTTAAGTAGCAATAACAAATTTGGATTGTATATTACTCTTATAGCTTTGACTGTGCTGAAATCTCTTATTTGTTATGATACTGTATTTTGTTGGTTCTGAGGTACACATTTGAACATTTCTGAAATTGGGGTGTATTCTTAAGTGATGATAACTTATAATTAATTGTAATATTTTTAAATTGTAAACATTTAAAGCAACATTCCAAAATACTTGATGCATAAAGTAATGATGTATCTTATAATTGATACTTTAGATTTGATGAAATATGGGATTTTGTTAGTTAATTCTTTTGTATTTTTCCAGGTAGGTGAGATCTCCTATAAACAATTATGGAAAAAGCCAGTAAATTAGTTTTCTTTTTTTTTTTTGAGTTGGAGTCTCACTCTGTCCCCCAGGCTGGAGTGCAGTGGCATGCTCACGGCCACCCAGCATTGACCTGCGGGCTCAGGCAATCCTTCCACCTCAAGCACGTGCTACCACATCCAGCTAATTTTTTGATTTGTTGTAGAGACAAGGTCTCAACAAGTTGCCCAGGCAATTCTCGAACCCATGGGCTCAGGCAGTCCCCTCACCTTGGCCTCCCAAAGTGCTGGGATTACAGGGTTGAGCCATAGTGCCCGGCCTAGTTTTCCTTTTTTATTTAAAGTAGAACATACAAAAAAATATAAAGTAGAAAAATGCAAAAAATATAAACTTACAGCTTAATTATCAGAAAACAAAAGCATTTCTATAACTATCCAAGTCAAGAAATAGAACATTACTAGCATCTACAAAATTCTCCTTGAATACACCAATCTTTATCTCTTTCTTCTTCCCCAAATTATTATTGTTCTGACTTTTTAATGCCATACTTTGGTTTTGCCTGATTGGAAACTTTTTAAAAATGGAACTACACAATAGATATTCTTTTGGGATTGATTTCTTTAACTTAACACTTTATGAGATTCATCTGTTTTGTTTGTGTAGCTGTGATTTGTTAATATTCTGTGATTGTTACTGTTCATTGCTGTATTGTATGACTATCATTATTTATTTATCTGTTCTATTGTTTGAATCATTGAGTCATTTCCAACCTTGGATGATTATAAAGAAAGCCACTATATCTTTTGTATGTCTCTTGGTACATGTATGCATGCATTTCTGTTAAGTATGTTCCCAAGAGTATAATTGTTAGACCATAGTGTATGTGTTTGTTCAATAATAGTAGATAAAGTTTCTTCTTGAAAGTAGTTTTATCATGTTATAGTCCCACCAACAGTGTATGAGAAAGTTGCTACATGTCTTTGTCAGAACTTGTTGTTATTAGTTTTTTAAATTTTAGCCACTTGGTTGGTGTGTAAATTCATCATTGTGGTTTTCATTACATTTTCTGGATGACTAATGGTGTAAACACTTTTTAATATATTTATAGGCCATTTAAATGTCTTTCGTAAAGTACCAGTTCAAATCTCTTGCTCTTCCTGTCTCCCTCTCCATCTCTTGTCTTTCACTTTCTTTCTTTTCTTTCTCTCTCCCTCTCTTGTTTTTATTCATTTGTACCTGCTGGGCTCCGGTGATTCTTCCGCCTCAGCCTTCCAAGTAGCCAGAATTGCAGGTACATGCTACCATTACCCGGCTGATTTTTTGGTTTATTATAGAGATGAGGTCTCACTGCCCAGGTGGGTCTCGAACCCGCAGGCTCAGGCAATCCACTCACCTCAGCCTCCCAAAGGCGTGGGATTACAGGCTGAGCCACCGAGCCCGGCTTAGCATGCATTTCTTATTCCTTCTTCACAATTTCACAGATAGTTTTTTTTTTCTTCCTTTATTAAGTGGAGAATTTTCACCGTTTAACTTAAAGGAGGCACTTTCCAACTTCTTTGGCATATCTGAATTGTCACCATCTCTGCTCTTGCACTTTGGGGTCATTATTAAATCAAGTAAGGGCTACTGGAACACAAGGACTGCTGGACTGAGAACTGAGATGGTTACTAAGTGACTAATGGGCAGGGAACTTCTACAGCATGGATACACAATTTAGAACTTAAGAGTTGTTTATTTCTAGAATTTTTCTTTTATATTTTTGGACCCGTGGCTGGTGACAGGTAACTGAAACCATGGGAAGCAAAACTGTGGATAAGTGGGACTCTACTGTGTGGCAGGTACAGTTGATGCTCCTTTTATATATATTTTTCTGCTCATTCCATTTTCCTTCCTACCTCACTAGAGGTACTATTGTTATTATGGACCTTTTCTGTTTTTATATTGTACTGCTTATGTATCTTTCCATAAACCATATAAGGTGTTGTTTTATATAAATGATATCTTACAATATGCATCATTTTACGGTTTGCTTCCTTAACTTATGTTTATAAGGATTTTTCATATTGATACTTGAATTCTAATTTATTAGTTTAATTGTATAGATTTTTCTTATATGAATATACTGCAGTTTGTTTTTCAGTTCTTCTTTTTGATGGATGTTTGGGTTGGTTGTTTTTTGCTTTTGTAAACAATGAGGAAGTGATGTGAATATCTGTGCTCATGGCCTCTTGTGTACACATGAGTTCCTCTAGGCTGAGTACTTACCTGGGAGTGAAATTGCTGGGTTGCAGTGTTTGTGATTTCAACTTTACCAATGCGATCAAGTTATTCTTCAAAGTAGTTGGACTAGTTTATGCCTGTACTAGTAGTTTGTGAGAGTACTTGCTTTTCCACATCTTTTGAGGGATGTGAAATGGTATCTTATTGTTTGAATCTTTCTGATTCTAGTGAAGTCGATCATCTTTTCATATTTTTTTGACAATTCAGGTTTTCTGTCTAAATTGCCAGATTCTGTCCTTTGCCTATTTCTCTATTGGATTGTTTATTTTTCTTATAGTTTTGTAGAAGTCTTTGTATAGCCTAGATATCAGTTTTATGTTATGTATATTACAGGTGTCTACTTTCAGACTTTGGCCTATCTGTTGACATTATGGTGTCTTTTTGTCATACTCATTGGTTTGTCATGCTGCCTTTGTCATATCCATGCTGTTTCACTGATTTCTGTCCATTCCTGCGTCACTCCCACACTGTCTTAAATATTACAGCTTTATCTCTAAAATTTTATCTTTGGTGGATTAAAACTCTTGTCTCTACCCCACTCACCATTTTTTAGTTCTTCAAATTTATTTGGGCTATCCTTGGGATTTTACTCTTCATATGAATTTTAGGATTACCCTGTTTAGATCCATTTTTTAAAATCTGTTGAGATTTTAATTGAATATGCATTTTAAATTATAGATTACTTTGGGAAAATTGACATCCTTAGAATCTGTTCCTTTATGAAAACAGTTTATTCAATTTTCTTTCATGTCCTTTAACTTTTAATTTTTTTCTGTAAAAAGTCTTGTACATCTTTTATTAGATTTCTTCCTACATGCCTTATAATTTTTTTGCCAGTGTTAATGAGATTTTTTTCTCTTATAGTTTCTATTATTTTGCTATGTGGATATGGTAGTGATTTTTATTTGTCAATCTTTTTATATTCAGCAACCTTGCTGACCTCTCTTAGTTGTAATAGGTTGTCTGTAGATGCTTTTGGATTTTCTGTATAGACCATTGTCTCATCTTCATATAAAAGCAAGTTTTTTTTCCTTTCTCATTGCAGGTTGAATGTCATGAATGGATTTCAGATTTTATTCTATATCACATTAGGAGCCATTGAAGGTTTTGAACAGAGAACAACATTCAAATATTTACATTTTAGAAAAACAATTTTGGTAGCAGATGAAGTTGTGACGATAAACAAGGGATCAGTTAGGAGATACTGTTATAGTCACAAGATGTTGCAAACCTGACCTTGGGTAGTAGCAGAAGGCAAGGAAGGGCAGAGATAAATGTATGAGATATTTTAGGATTAGGATCAAAAGAACCAGGCAAATGAGTAAATATGGGAGCTAAGATTCAGGGAGTCAACCATGACACCTAGGTTTCTGCTTGTAAAACTGCAGTAGTATTCATAAGAAGAGGAGCAAGTTTTGCAAGAAAATACCTGGTTTTCAACAGTGCTAGGAGAGATATTTGAAGCTTATCTGTGTATAATCATTCTCCACAATTTGAATGGCACTTCTTCAGTTTGTCTTTCTGAAATTTCCACGTAGATAAGTATCAGCCTGATATAGACCTTCCAGTGACCCAGAGGTTGGAAAGCGAGCTTGATTTATTAGATGTGAATATCCTTCCGGAAGACGCCCCATTTATTGTGGACCAAAGTGCAAGCTTCAAAGATGAGACATTAGCTCTGGCCAAAACAAAAGCAATGAAAAAGAAGTCTGTGACTGAGAATGTGCCATTTAGGAAGAAAGATACTCTGGCGCCAGCAAGACTACAGCAAGTATGAAGTCATTCCTTTCTTTTGGCCAATTTATATTAATCTGACATTGTCCAAGGTCACATAAGCTAGTATGCAGTGGGGCCAGGGTTTGAGTTCTCAGACAATTTTATGCTAGAGCCCCTAAGTCTAACTATCTAAGTTATTTATATATTTTAACAAAAGATAACAATTTTTAATATTGTTACTAGAAAAGGATATTCTTTCTTGTCCTAATTCAGTAAGACCCTAACTAATTTGATACCAGTGTCTTAATTGGGCAGGCTGTTTTAAAGTGCAGTTTTTTTCTGTATCTGATTTGGAAATATGAGACTTGAGGGGATTAAGTGTTGGTTTCTGCTAAAGATAAACATTGATCAATAGTAATCACTGACTGCACTCCAGCCTGGGAGACAGTGAGACTCCAACTTTAAAAAAAATAAAAAATAATAATAATCACTGAATATTAAAAGGCATCCTAGGTTGAGTGCTTTCTTATATGGCTTTGAGAGCCAGCTGGGTAGTTAGAATTTGATCTGAAACTACATTATATTTTAAACTTCTATTTAAAACTTACTTGAGACCCTCCAGTAGAAAACAAACCAGAGGCCTACCTCCTAGTCTGAAAGCCCGTATTGTAGTCACTGCCTTTTTATGGTGCTATCCAAAGTTTTCTGTAGCAAACCTATATATTGCCAGGTAGCTTCAGAAAAAGGAGATTTAGCACTTATTGCCAATTACTGACAGATAATGGATTAGGATCAAGTCTTTATTCCTTCCCAAGCAAACTGTTAGGGGGACCATTAGGAGATCAGAATTGGACCTGTAAGAATTCAGTTTGGTACTCTTCTCCAGAGACAGAGTCTCATTTTCTATGGCATTTTAAAATAGCTTGATTCATTCCATTTAGAACTAAGGCTTAGAGAGTTTAAGTATTTTAACTAAGAATGCTTTATAGTTTACCTCAGGACAATTTGAAATAAAGTTTTTTTTGGTGTATTTAGAAAAAAGTTATAAATAAATAAGTATTGTATATATAGTTCATATGTTTAAAGGTGACAGAGCTAGGAATTCCAATTCTATTCCCTGTACTCCACCCCTGCCCCCTGCTAAGTTTGCTTCAGGGTAATTAACCCCTCCCCCAAATTTCTACCATAGTACTTTCTACTTAGGCTTTACTGAATTGATACTTGAATAGCATGGAGAACTTGGAGCTTCAGTGAGTCAGAGGTTGAAACCAGAGTTTCTTCGATATTCATTTATAATTCATACTTATCTCTTACAGCAACTCCACAAAGCTGAAAGAAGTAGACAAAGCCAACCTCACAGTAAAATCAGGTTGCAACAGACAACAGTCTCATCCAGATTAAAAATGAACCGGCAGCCTGTGAGAGACCACAGGGCTCCTTGGATGCCTACGAACCCCACATCCCCACCAGCATCTCCTAAATGGTATGTGAAAATTCAAGGGATCATTTGGGTATGTGATTCTATTTTCCTATCACAGATCAAAGGTGACCTATAGCTTAGAGCAAATGAAGTAGCAGTCTTAATTCTTCCCATTAAGAAAAAAAATGCTTATTTGGGTGGTAATACATGAGAAATTTTTGTCCAGAAACTTGTTGGTTCCTTTTGCTGCCTGACTGGTTTGAGTCACTACCCAAGCACTCAATAGGTATCTGTCATTGTATGGAGGCTCATGGGCTTCTTTTCACTTGTCTCTTCCCTACTTGAGACCAGGGACTTATGTTTGAATATCTGGCATATAGTAGGCATTCAGTAAATCTCTGCTGAATAAACAACGTATTTTTAAATAATTCTAGTACCAAGTCAAGATAATTGTGAACTATAAAACCATATAGATTTTATCGACACAGTCTTAGCCACAGGGGACAGTTAGGATAGTGTTAATGTTACATCCTTGTCACCCTCATTTGTAGCACATGAAGAATGAGGAGCTGCCATTTTGCAGGGTAAGAGAAAAGGGAAGTAGGGTCCAGTTAGGTGGAAATAGTCATGGTTAAAGGTAAATGAGAGCTTGTTTGCCATGGACAGTAGTTCTTGAAAACACAGTAGAAAGGACCAGGAGGTGGAATAGAAATAAAGGGGGCAAAAAGCAGTAGTGAGGGAGGAGAACGAGGGAGAAGATAGGGGACTGAAGGGCTCTACTCTTGAGAGCCATCAGAAGTCGGGGTGAGGAGCCCTCTAAGATTACAAATGATTCTGAAGAAATAGTTATGCTCATTCATCAACTCTCATTTTAAAGTTAAAGAAACAATGTTTAGAGAATTTAATGTCTTGCTTGTGTTATAGAACTGCATCTGAAATCCAGTCTTCTGATTTCATAATGTGCTCGTTTGTTGTTATTACTCTGTTCTACTTTCTGTATTTTTATATACAAATATTAATATTGGAGACGTGCATTCAGTTAGTAAGTTCATTGGTGGAAGTTTGTACTGCAAACCAAATAAACAATGGACTGTCTTTTAGAGTGTGTGCTTGGTGGGTGGAGGAGGGAGGTCGATAAGGTTTCTGGGCTCACAGTGCTGTATTGGGCCTTATAGAGGTGCAGATTGCCTTAATAATATGCAGTGTATCCTAAATCTACATATTATAATAGGGTTTTGTTGGCATTCACCCAGTATTCTGTAATTGACCATTGTTTTTTCATTTTTTCAAAATAGTGATTGCTGCTTGGAAGCAAAGGAAAATTTCTCCCCTTTGACACTGAGCTTGAGTGCTGGAAGATCTCACCCTTTTTCACATTAGCTTCCTATTTATGGCCCTGTGCTATAGATCACCATTTAAATTAATGCTCTTGTCTGCTCTGAGCTGACCCCTATTTGGATGAGTCATTGGACATGAAGTGAATGATTACAAAGGTATCATTTTCCATTTTTTGCAGTGCTGCATGGCTAAAGGTGAAGTCTAGCCCTCAAGATGCCACAAGAGAGTTTCTCCGCCAAGAAGATACTACAGAGGAGAGTCCATTGAGAGGTGTTATTGAGCACGAAGCAGCCAGGTTTGTGATGGTATTTTTCAAATATTTGAAAATTAAAGGGCTTCTTTTACAGAGCCTCTGAAGTAAACCCTTTCTTCTCTTTCCTATGTATAAAGTTGATTATTTAAAATGTAGATTAGTAAACATTTCTGTCAAACTATACACTTTACAGTGAACCCCCTCTTTTATGCCTTCTTATTTCATTTGTTCAAAAATTATGTTATGTCTGTTGTGTATCCTTCGCTAGTTTTGTAAATGGCACTGTTGTGAGCTCTATAGAGACTTTATAAAAAAGGGCAAACAGGACATAACCCCAGTCCCTGTTTATTTACAGTCAGTAGAGAGAATATGTAATTAATGATCATTTAAGATAGAACATGGTATGTAACCTAAGAACTGGGAGAGTTTAGAAGTGGGGGAGAGGTTACTTTTTTGCTGCAGAGGTTTAGGCTTCATGGAGAGAGATGGAAATTAAACTAGGACTTGAAGAACAGACATGATTTAATATGGGGAGGAGGTGAGACTATTCCATAAGAAGAGAACTGTGAAAACAGTTGCTCTACATTTTTTTGGCTGAAATTATTCTTTCAATTATGGGAAAGCAAAAATGAAAGTTGTTCAAATAAGTAACTCGATAATAGTCACATATCCTAAAACAAAAGAATCAATGCTGTTTCATATATAACAAAGTTGTTCACAGTTAACCTTTTCTTTTTATTTAACTTCAGTATGCCTGGGGATCCATTTCTTTGTCTAAACTTGAAGATACAGCAAGGTTTTGTTTTAGTCTAACAAGAAATTCCAAGTACAGGTGATGGCTAATTTTCTTGAGAACCTTTGGAAGCAGTTTCTTGTTGCTCTGCACACTAACTCAGACTGCTTTTGTACATATATATCATTTCACATAAAAATGTTCTGAAGAGCTTTACAGGTACAGAGAAGTTATGTTACCTGCTGAATCCCTTAATGGAGCCAGGATTGGGGGTGGTGGTGGTAGGGTCTTAACTTCTAGCCTGTTTCTTTATTAATGATATCCTACAGTGTTGAGGCAGAATTGGTCTGACTCTTTTGACTGTCTGCTAGGCTCGCTTGGCTTGATGCTGAAACTTCCAAAGGATTGAAGGGACCAGAAGAATTAAAAGCCAAAGAAATGGACAAAATGCAAAAACAGAGGTAAATATTTGTTTGTGAAGTGGAAAAAGGTAAGCAGGCTTATTCTATATCAGCTAGCTATTTTGACACTGAATTGATTGTTTGGGTCTGGCTTACTTTGTATGTTTATTGACTGTCTACCGCCTCAAAACACTGTGAAGTCACCTAAGATGCCTATGCTGGAGCCAAGATTGGAGCCCCAGAAAATCCTGACTACTTTGAGGAGACGTGTTGTGATTCTTTACTGTTTTCTAGGCTCGACTGGCTTGATGCTGAAACGACTAGAAGAACAAAGGAACTGAATGAACTTAAAACTGAAGAAATGGATAGACTTCATAAATTGAGGTATGTGTTTGTTTTTGAGGAAGAATAACAGTCACATGCCTATTCTAATCTGTCTCTAGGTAGTTTTGGCAACTAACCTGGACTGTTTAGGCCTAACTTCATTACATGAATGAGTGAATGAATGAACCAATACCTCTGTTCCATATGTATTATACCATATTGTTGCTAGGGAATTATTTTTTGTTTGGAGTTTGAAGGAGAACTGAGAAAACTACAATTTTTCTGTCTGAAAAGATTAGAGTCCTATATTTGTTTCTTGCTTGTACTACCCTCAAAGTTTCTTTTCTCTAGCCAGATGCCAGTCTTTCTGAGGGAGGTTAGTGTTCATTTTGTGCTCGTATGAGTAAATGTGTAGACACTTTTGTTTCATATGTTAACTTGAATGCAGTTTCAGATGTCGTTACCTTTTTCCATTCACTCCCTAAGGTTACCGCCTAACCATAGGTGTAAAAAAAATTGTTAAAAGATTTAGTTGAGCTACTGCTGCTACTGCTGCAATTGGCTCATTTTTCCAGCTGTGGTAATAATTTGCCCTGCAGTCAAGTTAACAGAACATTCTTTGAAACAGCTGTGCGTTCTGTCATCATTCTTGGTAGAGTATTCATTCTCAGGTTAAAAGGGGTTCTATCATTAGCGGGACAAGATTTTTTTGTCTGGTTAAGATTTCAAGTCATACAATCACAGAATCTTAGGATTTGAAGGATATTTTTTCCCCACCTGATGCTTTCAGCCCCTCTGTATTATCTCCATGAAATAACCGTGCAGCTTATTCACACATACCCTCTGTGATGAGAGGTCACTGTTGTCTGAGGGAGTTCATTTCTTGTTCATCTATAGCTAGTAGAAGGTGCAACCTTAGATTGTGCTGAAATTTGACTACATGTGACTCCTACCCACTTGTCCTTTGGGCAATATAGCAAAAGCTTAATCCTCTGTACCTATTTTTCCTTTTGTGTGTTTTTAATTAAAAAAATTAATGTATCATACATATAGAAGAACATGCTAAATGCACATATGCAATCCAAAATGTTACACCCGTGTACCACCCACCACAAGCTGAGAAATCAATCATTGCTGCTACTGTAGGAGTTTCCAGTATGTCCCTTCTCTTATCACCCCAGAGGCACCCCTTTAAGCACCCCAGAGGCAACTGCTATCCCGATTCTTGTGATAATTTTTTATTACCCTTCTTCATAGATCTATCACCTATGTATGTATCCCTAACCATATATTAATTTTGAAAAGTGAGAAACAAGCACAAACCTAGCTGAGCAAGGAAAGGGCATTGTTGCTGGTATTAGATGAAAACTCCCAGGGATAAATAAGTTGATTAGAGTCTGGTTTGTAATTGACTTGTGCTTCCCTGAGAGTTTTTAGGAGCCTCATCTCAGGAAGTCAGCAAGCAAAGTCATGAGTGAATTCTGGCAAATGTAAGTAGAAACTTCATTAGCAAAAGGCCAGGAATCTAGGCCAGCCTCACTTGTAGGGTTGGATCTCCTGTTTCCTATATTGTGTTGGAATCTTCCTTGGAATCTTGCTTGTTTTAGTGGAACACATCCTAATTTAGCTTCTTGAGAAAGGATTGAAAGTCTAAAAATGTCTTTATTTGCTGATAGCCTTACTGTGTATAGAAGTTTTAATGAAAATGACTTTTATTGAACATTTTAAAATTAAACTTTTTGTTGTAAGATAATTGTAGAATCACATGAAGTAATAATACAGACAAATCTTGGGCAGCCTTTATCCAATTTTCCCCAATGGTAACATCTTGGGAAAATATAGTATATTACAACAATCAGAATATTAACATTGATATAGTCAAGAAACAGGATAGTCCACAAGGGTCCCTCATGTTGCCCTTTTATAGCCACACCTACTTTTCTCCTGCCCCCATCACTGCTTGGCCAAGTAATCCTTACAACCGTTTATCTGTTCTCCCTCCTTATAATGTTGTTATTTCAAAAGTGTTATATTAGTGGAATCATATAGTATGTAACCTTTGAGATTGACTTTTTTCCCTTACATAATTCTCTGGAAATTCATATATTAGTATTGCATTCCTTTTTGTTTCTGAGTAGTATTCTATGACTATTTAATCATTTACTTGATATTTAATCATTCACCTGATAGAGAACATCTGGGTTGTTTCCAGTTTAGGGTTATTATGAATGTAGTTTCTATAAACATCTGTGTACGGGTGTTAGTATAAATACAAGTTTTCGTGTTTTTCTGGGATAAATGCCCAGAGGGTGTTGTATGCTAGTTGTGTGTTGTTGTTGTTTTCTAAACTGCCATACTATTTTCCAGAGTGGCTTTCTCAGATCCCACCAGCAATGTTTGAGGAATCCAGTTGTTCTGCATTTTTGCCAGCATTTGGTTGGTGTCACTGTGCTTTCTTTCAGGCATTCTGAGAGATGTGTAGTGGTATATCATTGTGGTTTTGATTTTTACTTCCCTAGTAGCTAATGTTGAATATTTTTCACATGCTTGCTTGCTTTCTACTCAGTCTTTGCTAGCATGTGGCCTTGCGTTTTTCTGTAGTATTTAGCTGTAGTAGGGCAGTGATTTTCTAAAAGTTTTCCATCTTTCTAAGCTGTCTTTTTTTTAGTCCTTTGGCTAGAGAGAGTAGGCTTTTGTTGGAGGTTTTTTCATTTTCATTTTTGTTTACATCTACTGGTGTTTCCTGGTTGCTGGCTTTTCTAATACCTAGACTGGAATATATGAGGCAAAAAGAAAACCCAGGGAACTCACTACTGTATCATTCTTTGAATCCCATTGTCCCTAGCTGATCTGCAATTTTTCCTCTTACGTTTGTTTATATGTAATGTCCAGAGTTCTTAGTTATACTTAATAGGAAGAATAGGGGAAAGTACACTTTATTCTACCTCTGCAGAAGCAGAAATATGATCAGAATTTTTAAAGCATTATTTCATTGCTTTGTTTCCAGTGAAAAATATGAATCTTGCTTTTATCCTTCTCTAGAAACGTATAGATTCTTCTTTTTCCCCACTGGTCTGAAATTTTATAATGGTAAGACTTGGTATGGGTATATTTTCATTCATCGGTGGACTTTTTCAGTCTGGCAGTTTGTTTCCTTCAGTTCTGAGAAATAATCTTTACTTTGTGCATTTTTTTCTTGCCTTTTTTTTCTCTGTTTTCTCTTTCTGCAACTCCTGTTCTTTGATGTTGGACTTTTTAAGTTGGCCTTCTGATTTTTTAAAATCTGGTTTTTGTTTTTTAGTGTTTTAAAAAGATCACGGTCTTGCTCTGTCACCCAGGCTGGAGTGCAGTGGCATAGTCATAGCTCACTGCAGCTTTGAACTCCTTGGCTGAAGTGATTCTTCCTCAGCCTCCCAAGTAGCTAGGACTATAGGTGTGTGCCACCATGCCCAGCTATTTAAACAAAAAACCAAAAATTTGTAGAGATGGAATCTCACTATGTCAAGGCTGGTCTTGAACTTCTTGGCTCAAGCTATCCTCCTGCTTGACTTCCCAAAGCACTGGGATTATAGGCATGAACCACTGTGCTGGCTTCTTACCTGTTTTTTTGTTTGTTTTTGTATTTTCTTTCTCTCTGTCCTTTTCTTTTTCTTTCTTTTACCCCTACCCCTACCTTGTCCCAGTGGGCATTTTCCACAGACTTATCATTTAACCTGTTTTACCATTTCTGCTGTAGTATTTGAAATTTGAAAATTTTAAGAGCTCTATTATATTCTCCAAATTTCTCTTACTTAATAGTCTTCTATTCTTCTTTTGTAGTTGCAGTGCTGTTCTCTTTCTCTCTGAGTATATTAAAAATAGTTTTCCCCCCACTTTGCTCTACATAATCTCTTTACTTCCTCAGAGATCTAGTAATCCTTGGCTATCTTCTGATGTTTAAATGTAGGGGACTAATTACTGATGAAAAATTCTGTGCATGTGGATTGAAATTAATACTTTAGTTTTTTTAAAAATTATTTTTATTGTGGTATAATTTACATATAGTGAAATCCAAAGTACTTAAAGGTGCAGTTCAATGAGTTTTGACAAACCCTAACCAAAATAGATCATATGCCCATCAACCTAGAAAGTTCCCACATATCCTTTCTGGTCATTCCCTACTCCACTCCCTACCCCATGTCCTTTCCTCACAGAGGCAGTTACTTTCTGATTTCTTTCACTGTAAGTAGTTTTGCCTGTTCTTGGACTTTATATATAAATAGAATTATTGAGATCTACTCTTTAATGTCTGACTTCTTTTGCTCAACAAAATATTTGAGATTTGTCCACATTGTAGTTATATCAGTATAGTTCATTCATTTCATTGTAGAATAGTATCCTATTTTGTGAGTGTACTGCATTCTGTTTTTTCATTCTCCTGTGAATTGTCATTTGGTTGTTTACCATTTATAGTTAGTATGAATAAAACTACTATAAGCATTCTTACAGAAGCCTTTCTGTAGAAATATGCTTTCATTTCTTTTGAGTAAATACCTTGGAGTAGAATTTCTGGGTCATAGGATAGGCAGTTGCTTAATTTTATTAAACTGGTCATACGAAAAAGTAGCATTTTATACTACCATTAGCAAGGCATAGAGGTTCTTTTCCAGTTGTTCCACATCCTTTTAACAATCGGTTGTCAATCTTAATTTTAGCCATTCTGATGAGAATGGGGGAGGGGATATCTCCTTGTCGTTTTAATTTGCATTTCCTTGAAGACTGATGGGTAGCTTTTCTAGTTTCAGTAATAATTGTGAAGTATCTGTTCAAGTATTTTTCCTAGTTTTTAATTGTTTTTCTTAATTATATTGATTTGTTTGAGTTCTTTGTATTTTCTGAATGTAAGTTCCTTGCCAGGTATATGTGCATCAAATATTTTCTCACAGTACTATGGCTTGCCTATATATCTTCTTAGGAGTGTCATTTGATGAGTAGAAGCTTTAAGTTCTGATTATGATAAGCTTATCAATTTTTCTTTTATGGTTAATCCTTTTTGGAGAACTGTCTAAGGAATTATTGCCTATGTTAAGATCTCAAAGATTTTCTCCCAGGTTTTCTTTTAAATGCTTTATAATTTTAGCTTGTATTTTTATGTTTGTGATCCCTTTTTGACTAATTTTTGTGTATGAGATGAGTTACTGATCAAAGTTCATTTTTTTCTTTATGGATATCTGGCTGCTCCAGCACAATCTGATGAAAAGATTAATATCAAACTTGTACTTTACTCTCAGGTCATCTGGGTAGACTTTGTTAAGGACCCTCAAGTTGGTCTTTAGGTCTTTCCTTTGGGGTAGGTCAGACTGCTCAGAGAAGAGTTTTCTGACCTTCTGCCCAGAGAGTAAGGATCTGGATATTGGGGTCTTAGGAGCTAAGTTGGGGAAGAGGGCTATGAGTTTAACCACTCAGCAGTCAGCATGCATACATGACCTTCTCTTTTCAGTGTGGTATCTACAACCTCAACTGTGATTGGTTGCCCCTAGTCAAGAGACTTCTACCCCTAACCCCCAAGAATGAGCAACCAGACTTCTTTTAGAGTTGGAAAGAGGCATGAAGTAGGAAAAGGGACCTAGGAGTCTAACTTCTTAAACATCATTTGACTCTTCTCTTCCATTTTTAAGCCACCTCTTCCAACTTAGCCCAGCCCTAGGTGTACATGGTACTACCAGTCATGTGCCTGATTAAGGCAGCAGTGCAAATTGTGTACGTTCTAGTTTTTCCTATTGCTGGCCTAGAAGTAAGCTTGATTAGGTCAAGTGAGCTAGTTATCACTTTTGTCCTGTGTTTTTGAGCACCATTTTCCCTTCCTCCTTGTCCTTGTGGATTTAAATCTAACTCTACAGTTGTTTTAGTGGGACTTGTGAAGGGAATAGAATTAGTTTATTTTGTTCAATCTAACACTCTTTTTAATTGCTTAATGGCTATTAGTTTTTAAAGTGTGCTTAGACACATGTCTTCAAATGTTATCTAAACTCTGTACACAAAGTAAGGTCCAGGACTAGCAGTGTTGCATTATCTGTTGGATATACAGAATTTCAGGCCTCACTCAGACCAACTGAATCAGAAACTAAATTTTAACAAGGTCCTCAGGAGATTTGTATTGTTGCTAAAGTTTAGAAAAGCTCTGTGGTTTTTATAATCATTTGATTTCCCTTCACCTAAAGTGGTAAATAAATATGCAAGATAGGATATTTTCTTTTCTTTGATTTTAATTTTCAATTTTATTTCTAAATAGTGTTTCTGCCACCCAGTTAGTGGACAAGGTAGAGGAGGCAGTTTTGGAGCGTTTGAAGCCTCTCTTGGTCAAGGCCCAGGTAATTTAGTTCATTTCATTTGCTTGCCTTTTTGAATTTCTAGAATAAAAAGAGTTGCTACAGGGGAAACACTAACCCTCAGTAGGGCTAAGTGTCTCTTTGGCAGCTAGAGGACACCCACAGACCACCACACATTATTAATGTGTCCTCCATTGTGAGGAAGGGGATAGAGATACGGGAAAGAGAGGAAAGTCCCACCTTTGAGGAAGTTGAGATTTTAGTTGGCAACAAGTTTAGATTGCAATTTCCATTTCTAATCAATAGGTCTATTGGTGATATTAATCTTCAATTAATTGCTTTTACTCTAATGCTGTGCTTTTTCACCTCAGTGGTTTGGAATGATTGGCTCTATTTTTCCAAAGGAGAGAGTTGTTAGAACAGCTTCTGTGCACAAGCCAGTACTTTTGTGAAGATGAAATTACATATGACATCACTAAGAGGTTATACCATCCTCCTGTAAGCAGTAACCTAAATTCTATTGCCAGACCCTGTAGATTCACCCTGTAAATAGAATCAGTGCTGTTTGTAGGAATAGATGAGGCCATAGAAGGATATTATAATCTTAATGAATGAATGACATTCTGGTTCCCTGAACAGGCCACTGAACTTAGGCATTTTTAGTTTGAGAAATGCTTAATTATTAATAGTGTCCATGACGTCTCAGGAATGTAGAAATAGGAAGGCTCTTAGAGATCAAGTAGTCCAACTTCCTCATTTTGTCATTGAGGAAACTGTGGAATAGAGAAGTTGAATGATTTGCATAAAAGCACACAGCTACCCTGGCAATGTTTACAAAGTTGAGGGAAGAAAAAGGCTGGAAAGCCAAGATCAACACATGGCATTTATATTCATGAAGACAAAGTGCTTTGAATCGCTGCAAAAAGCCTAATACAGCTAAAGCTGATGAATAGTTCCATACAGAAGTTATTTTGGTAACAGAATTCATTTGTGCTAACAGGAGCTGTAAGTTTTTATAATCCATGAATTTATTTGTCTGTTTTAATAGAAAGTCAATTCTTCTACAGAAGCAAATGCTCATTTGAAGGATGGTCTATCAGTAAACACAACAGCAGCCCAGCCTGCATATGAGGTATGTGTTGTGTGGTGTTTGTATTCTGGTATTATTACGTGATAATGTCTTCAATTGAAAGGAAAATGATATGCAGATTACTTTGCAAATACTAGATTATCCTACTCAAAGAAGAGTGAAAATTATTTTTCACTTTTGGCATGTTAATTCTTGCAGCGTGTATTTAGTGTTATGACTTAGATCAGCCTTGCAAACAGCTCACAGAAACCTCTAGAGCCACAGATTTTTGTCAGTGGTTCCTTCTCTCTCCTCTTGATGACACAGTGTGGGTGCCCTATGTGGCCCTGAATGTTGATTGCCTGCGCTAAAAGAATGACTGCCCTCGTTTCCTTTCATTCAGCCTAGTTTCACTCATTACTGACTTAATTTCCTTTATATTTAGGGCCTAATATTTATTATTAGGCAAGCTTGTTTTGAGTTCCTAATATGTGACCAGTATCTGGCATAGCAGAGAAAAAAGACAGCCCAGGAATAAAATTGAGAACATTTGAGAAAAATGAAAACATGTTTCGTTGTCTACCCTATATTCTTCCTCTGGAGGACTTGTTTCTAGTATTTGTGGGAATTTTTCTACCTTGCCTAAGCTTAGGGCTGCAAAGTGGAAGGTGCAAGTTGCATTCATTTAACCTTTGTGGAGATTGGAAGGATGTTTATTACTTTAGTTGCTGAGACCAAGTAAGGGGTAGAGCAAGTATAAAGGTTTCAGAATTAAAAGGAAACTAAATGAAGCTCCAGCAGCCCAGTGACCTTAGGAACAGGAAGAAAGTAGATTTCAAGAATGTATCCATTTTAATTATTAAGCAATATTTTAGCTGCAATCATTTTCATAATCTCGAATTACAATTTTATTGTACCAATATTTTGAGACACAATCTCTTTTGAGGTCCCTGTCAGTGCATTGAGACCTTCCTTATTTTTTTAAATGGAATATAGTATCTTTGGTATTCCATTCTTTATAGATGTATAATATATACATGCAAACATGCATACATATCTTAATTAGCTAGACCTGTATTGGTTGTCTTTTTTTCTAAGTTCCTTGTATTGGTTATTTGACTTGATTTTTGTCTCTTTTTTTTTTTTTTTTTTTTGAGTTGGAGTCTCACTTTGTCACCCAGACTGGAGTGCAGTGGCATGCTCCCAGCCACCACAGCCTCGACCTGCTGGGCTCCGGCGATCCTTCTGCCTCAGCCTTCCGAGTAGCTGGAATTACAGGCATGCACTACCACGCCTGGCTGATTTTTTTATTTATTGTAGAGATGAGGTCTCGCCAAGTTGCCCAGGTGGGTCTCGAACCCGTGGGGGCTCAGGCAATTCACTCACCTCAGCCTCCCAAAGCGTGGGATTACAGGCTGAGCCACTGAGCCTGGCTATGAACAGAATTCTTTACAAAAGAACAGAATTCTTGACCAAAAGAGAATAGATATGTCCTCTGGAATGTATGACATGTAAAATACTAGAGATTCTGTTGAACATAGCAAAAGGAAGATATTTGCTCTACCAACTGGCAAAACAGTTGATAATGATAATTTATACAGACAATAATAGTATTACTTGGTTAATGCTACCATTTAAATGACTGTAATAAAAATTGTACTGATGTTATTGCTTTTGATATTTACTGACTTAGGAGAGGTTTGTTTTTAGCTTGGAAACTCTGCCAGTTGTATCAGTATGCTGTTTGGTTTATTATGATTAGCAATAATCTTTAAATGTTTGTTTTCATTATATCACCTTCCCACTCTTCTACTCCCTTATTTTTTAGGCTACAGCTGTTGATTCTGAATCTAACAACATTCGTCAGCTGGATGAGTTTTTGGAAGATACCGCTCATGAGCTCTGGGCTATGACTCATACTAAGATCTTGGGGTCTGAAACCTTCACCGCCCTGGGGGACAACCCAGATTTGGAGATCATGATGCACCGTATGGAAGAAATGGAAGTAAGGTCTGGGACTGCTGGTCTGGTTTGCCACTGGGTGCTGACCTCTGCCAAGTGCAGCTCCTCCTCATACCTCTGTAGCTTAATGTGTCAGTCACATGGTCCTGGTTTTAAATCCCACTCTACTGCCAACTAAGTGTATGACCTTGGTATAGTCACCTACCCTCTCTAATGAGTGGGGAGTTTTTAAGGATAAAGTAAGGCGTAGACTATTTAGCCTGCCACCCGTCTTGTATTCCAGTAAGTGATCATTATTATTACCCCCTGATACCATTGATATGTGATTCCAAGACCAGGTCCCATCAGTGAGACCATAGACCTTTTCATCTACCACCTTATAAGTATTATTCAGTTGCCTCCTCTTCCATACTAGGGTATGAGTCCATCAAATTTCAGATAATTTTACTTTCTTTAATTTTCATAATACTGCTTCACTCAGCCTAACCCCTAGATTGTTCACTTTAGGAAATTGAGGCACTATAAGGAAATAAGTGACATAGCCAAGGTCACAAAATAATTCGTGGCAGAGCTAGGATGAGAATCTAAGTCTCCTGGCTCTCAGTTCAGCATTTTCTTTTTAATTGCACCATGATTAAACCTCATTTCTGCTTTGCTGCTAAATAGAAACTTACAGGGAAGGCAATTTTTTGTTAGTTTTTGGGAATTTAAAGATATGTGATTAATTCCAGTCTAGTAACTGATTTCCCTTTCTTGAGGATAGCTGCCAAGGCCTGAGATGTCCAAAACAGTAGACACTAGCCACATGTGCCAATTGAAATGCAAGTTAATTAAAAACACACTGCAAGTGGTCAATAGTAAGTGGCTACTGTATCAGACAAGCACATCTAGAACATTACCTTCACTGCAGCAGGTTCTAGTGAACAGTGCGGGTCTAGATTGCAGTTATGTTAATTGCTTCATTTTATTTTAGACTTCATCTCATGAACTATTTACTTTCTGGCTTGGCAGATGCCCATTTCTGGCATTATGTCTGTATCAATTGTGTCTGCTGAACTTTTACATCCTTACTAGTTTTGGTTTGTAATGAAACTCATTTTTTCTCATAAATTAATTTTTTTAAAGAAATACCAGGAGTCAGTTCGTCAAAGATATAATAAAATTGTATATACTGATCCTCATTTTTGGATGCAGGAAGAAAAAAATGGTAAGTTTTCCCCCAACATTTTTTTCTGAAAAATTTCAGACATACAAAAAAGTTGGAAAAATTGTGCTGTAAACTCATATACTTAACGTTCTAGATTCAAAAATTAGCATTGTGCTAAATTTGCTTTGTTACATACCTGTTTACCCCTTACTCATCCTTCAGTTCATCTTATTTTTGCATTTCAAAGTAAGTTGCAAGTATCAGTACACTTTACCCCTAAATATGAGCACGTGTATCATCAACTAGAGTTCACTATTTATTTCTTTTGAGATAAAATTTACATATTAAAAAATATACAGACCCTAGCCGGGCTCGGTGGCTCAGCCTGTAATCCCGCGCCTTTGGGAGGCTGAGGTGAGTGTAATGCCTGAGCCCGCGGGTTCGAGACCCGCCTGGACAGCGAGACCTCATCTCTACAATAAATAAAAAAATCAACCAGGCGTGGTAGCGCATGCCTGTAATTCCAGCTACTTGGAAGGCTGAGGCGAAAGGATCGCCAGAGCCCAGCAGTCGAGGCTGCGGTGGCCAGGAGCGGCCGCTGCACTCCAGTCTGGGCAACTGAGTGAGACTCCAACTAAAAAAAAATTAAAAAAATATACAGACCCTAACTGTGTGTTTTGATGGGTTTTGGCATTTGGATACATATTTGTTACCCAGACCCCTATTAAGATATAGAACACATCACCTCAGAAAATTCCCTCATGCCCCTTCTAGTCAGTTGCACCACATAGGCAGCCCCTGTGCTTTTTTAGTTGTGTTCTAGAATTTCATATGAATGCAATCATACAGTGTGTAAACTTTTTTAGACTTCTTTCATTCAGTATAGTGCTTTATATCTATGTTATTTCCTGTTGCTGCTATTAACAAATTTAAGTTTATAACAAGTTTAAGCCACAGATTTGGTGACTTAAGCACAGATTTATTATCTCACAGTTCTGGGGGTAAGAAACCTGAAGTGAGTCTTAAAGGACTAAAATTAAGGCATTGGTAGGGCTAGGTCATTCTGGAGTCTTTAGGGGAGAATCCGTTCCTTGTTTGTTCCAGCTTCTAAGTTTTAGTCTATTAGGAATAAACCTTCTATGAATGTGTTCATGTATGGTCTTTGTGTGGACATAAGTTTTTATTTCTTTTAGATAATACTTAAGAGTAGACTTACCAGATCATAAGATAAGTTTGTATTTAATTTTATGAAATGTTGCCAAGCCCTTACCAATGTGTCTTTCCCATTTCACATTCCCATCAATGCTCCCACTACACTGAACTCCTGTTGCTTACATCCTAGCCAACACTTGGGATCATCAGGTTTCTTAATTGTAACCATTCTGGTGAGGGTGTGGTGGTATCTCACTGTGGTTTTAATTTAATTTCCTTGATGAATAATGACATTTAGAGCCCTTTCAAGTGGTTATTAGGTATTTGTATACCTTCCTTTGTGAAGTATGCAAAGTCTTTTGACAATTTTTTTTTTTGGTAAATTGGACTGTTTATCTTTTTGAGTCATAGAAATCCTTTGTGCTGGGTACAAATTCTTTGTCAGATATATATTTTTGTTTGTTTTTTGTGTGTGTATGTGTTTTTAAAAATAACATTAAAGGGATATATATCATATGCCAGAAAATTTACCTTTTTAAAATAGTTTTCTGTATATTCCTATAGTCCTGCAGCTGTCTAATTCCAGAATATTTTCATCGCCCCCAAAAGAAACCTTATTAGCAGTCACTCCCCATTCTCCCTTCCCTCGCCTGGCAGCCACTAAACTACTCACATAGATGTTTTACAAATATTTTTTCCCATTCATGGCTCACCTATTTGTTTTCTCAAAGATGTTTTATTATCAGCAGACATTTTTAATCTTTATAAAGTCTAACATCAGTTTTTTCTTGTGTGGTTTTGCTTTCTATGACCTAAGAAACCTTTACCTACCCTCAAGTGGAGAAGAGATTCCCTTGTTTTCTTCTGGAAATTTATGGTTTTATTTTTATATTTAGGTCTGTGATCCATCTTGAATAAAAGTTTGCCTGTGCTTGGAGGTAGAGGTTGAGGTTCATTTTCTTGTTACCTAATGGACATCTATTTGTTCTAGCACCATTTGTTGAAAAGGTTTTTGCCTTTCTCCTCCACTTTTCAAAATTTATACTTAACGTATTTTGGCTGCAATTGGTACTATCACAATTTTGGCTAGGAAGTGTTACTCAAATTCTGTTTGACTCATGCATACCAGTTACTGCTTTTACTCAGTGAAAGGAGGAGAATAAAATGTGGTTAAATATTATCTCTAAAGGAATGTATGCACTGTGAGTCCTACACTTAACTAAGATGAAAGGAAATTGAGAGTATAGAAGGTTCATAGCAGCAGCACATGTCACAAGTAATTATTTGAAAATATGAGTTTGGAGTATTGTGATAGAAAAAGTATTATCCATGTAAAATTTTGACAGAAAGATGAGCCACCTAAACAAAACACTGCTTTGTTCCTTTGATGTATTCTGTATTTTCAGGCATTCTGTTTTTTGCTCATGTTGTTTTCACTTCCCCTCAGTGCTTCTCCCACCTCCATGTTCACCCTCACATAGCAATCAAACCATTCTTCAAGGCCTAGCTCATGTGACCTTCTCTGTGCAGTGCCTTCCCTCATATCTCTATACTGGAACTTAGCTCCCTTCCTCCCTTCCTTGCCTATGAACTCCCATAGCACTTTCTGGCATGTTCTATCATGAGTTAGAGTTGTTTGTGCAAGTGCCTTATCTCTTCCAACTAAGCCATAGATTCTTTAAGGCCTTAGAGTTTGTTCTAGTCACTTGTGTTCCCCACTGTGCCTAGAACAGGACTGGCACAGCAAGGGCCCTTCTCATCATTGTTTAGTCAGTCAGCTGGCCTTTTAGTATCTTTTTGTGTGGAAACAAAGGAAAGGTAAACTTTGGAGGGCAATTTGTTTTCCTGATGGTTTGGTCATTGGCCACAAAGTTAAGTTGCATCATGTAGAAGGCAGTCTTACAAAGGACTTAGTGTTCTCTTTTTTCAAGGATGATTTAAATTATTAGTCACCATCGGTGACTCTGCAGAGTCTAGGTATGCATTTAAAAGGAGCTCTTTAGAACACTAGAACTAAAATGAGTTTTGGGACACTTGTAATTTTAGAATTGTGAAATTGAAAAAGGAATCCTATGTTTCCAGTTCTGGTTGTTTGTTTAATCGCATCACAGAACCAAATTTAAAGTGATCTTTGGATTGTGCATTGTCTATATTTTTTTAATCTTCTCTGTGAATAATTGAAAATTGATTGTGTTCTCAGTAATAGCTTTACAAAAACTGACATGATATATCTTTCTGACAGCAAGAAATCGTAAGTGTGTAAGTGTGAGCCAGAGAATGTTGCTTGACATATAGATGCTCCTTACTTAAGAGAAGGACAAATTATCTTCCCATACTTGAATACACTTAAAATTATAATCTACAACTAAGAAGCACTGTCAAGCCTACAAGTTTTAGTTAATATATTAATGTTTTGACTATCCTCACACAGATTTTTCCAGCAGTGCCTAGAGACAAATTAAGTTAGCTAATTAAATATTCAGGTGTGAATGGTTTTTTTCTTCTTCAGTAATCAAAGCATTTAAAGGTTAAAAAACAAAACCAACTTAAGACTCCTTGAGTTGGGTGGCTGTGTCCTAACAGAACTCGCATAGCCTGGGGCTTTGCATAGACCTCCTTAAGAAGTCTTCCTCAAAGCAAGCAGAGGCTTTGGAAGGAGTTCTAAAATTGATTCCTCATTGGTTTGTTTCTTTGTAATGTTTAAATTCACCTTTGCATTTAAAACAAGAACATTTTTCCCATTGTACTGCTAGCCAAGCCCATTATGCTTAAGAGATATACATGTGACTTGCTCACAAGTTATTGGCCACTAGGACTGCTCTAATATGGACATTGACTTTTCTTTATATGCAGTCATTTTATGCCTTTCCTTTTCTAGACAAAATAATCTCAGCAGTAAATGAAAACCCTCTGCCTCCTCATCCAATCAGGATCACAAATACAGTAGCTCGCAAGGACCCAGCTGTGAGCATCGTGCTGGAAAGGCCCTGTAATGGCAAGTAAGTGGCAACGACGCTGTCTGATTTCACTCTAGTTGGTCACCTTTGACATTGAGAAATTTTGAATTCCTTCAGTTTTTTATAAGACAAAGGGAAATTCTTCTTTTGAATAAGATCTTACCTAACTCGAAGATGGCTTAGTAAAATAGTAGGTTGGGCATTAAGTGTGTTGGACTTAAGAAACTTTTTTAGTATTCAATAACATTTAGCTGTTTTTTTAATTGTTGAAAGCATCACATTGGTATATCTGGGTTGTGCTCATATTTACTGCAAGATTTGCTGTAAGAATTACTGTGTCTAAGGGATGGGTATTTTACTTTGTCATAGGTTAGTTAGTCCATTGAAAAGGGGAAACAATGAATGGTGATGGGATGTTGAATTTGATCAGTGTGAGAAAGATGAAGTCGAGTATTTGGTTATGAAACTGTGGGATAAATTAACAGTTTACCCTTGCTTGCAGATGATTTTGAATACTCTCATAATTTTTATTTGTTCTCAGTTCCCTGAATGAAAGTGTGGGAACAGAAGAGGGATCAGAGAAAAGAGAGGCTCCCCATCTCTCCCTTGCAGATGATTCTCAGCAGAAAGAAGGCCAAACCCCCCTCTTTGTCCCACTGGGTATGCGTCACAGCATTGGTGACTACTGTAGCCGTTTTGAGCAGTACCTCCGGTTCATATCTCATGAGCCCATAGGCTCCTTCAACCCATGGCTGATAGCTGAAAGGTCAGTAAAATGTTACATCCTCTGTTAGAGAATCAAGTGCTAAACTTTAGACTGACAGAAAACCTGGAGGAAGGACTAGCCAAGGCCTCATTCCAATTTTTTGGGCCCTGGAGTTCCGATGGTTGTTTTAGTGGGCAGGCTTACTCTGCTAACTGCCTTATTTTCAGACACAGGAGTCCATAAAACAGCACAAGTGGTACTACCCAAAGGTGGTACTGCTCTGCAGCCTTCCCTTCCTAGGCAGATTGTCTTAGTTAGCTTGGGCTGTCATAACAAAGTACCACAGACTGGATGACCTAAGCAACAGGAATTTCTCACAGTTCTTGAGGTTAGGAAGTCTAAGACCAAGATGTGGGCCGGTTCATTGTCTGGTGATGGCCCTCTTCTGGGCTTGCAGATGGCTGTCTTCTTGCCGTGACCTCACCTGGCAGAGAAAATGAGCTCTGGTCTCTATTCCTTGTAAGGGCACTAATCTCACCATGGGGCCTCCACCTTCATGACGTCATCTAAATCTAATTACCTCTTGTGGGCCCCACCACCAAAATACCATCACATGTATTAGTGCTTCAACATATGAATTTGGGTAGGGTGGAACACAGACATTCAGCCCTAATAACAGAGGTACAGTATTCAGGAATCAAGTCAGGGCCGATTTCCTATTGCTGCTAATGAGGGTGATGTCCCATGAGAGAATACAAAATATTGCTGAGCAGGAAACAGTCATGACCTTGAGACATCTTAATGGCTGGGACAAACTTGCCTTTATAAGCAGCAGGCCTCTGATTTTGCAACATTTTCTTTAACTCTTCTCCTTCTTTGGGTCACCACCTCTGGGTAAGGTAGTTTTTTGGTCATAATACAGAATCTTCAAGCTACTAATATTTAAAGAACAGAGTCTTCCTTTATGTACAAAATAGCTCCTCTTAAAGGTGTGCACAAATCTACTTTTTAAAGATAGGGTCCAAATCTAAATTCCTTATGAGTATCTTTTTATTACAAACAGTCAAGATATTTTTCATCATTGAGCTAAGTAGTATATACAATAATTATATTTCTCTTTCATTTTTTATTTTTTTGAGTTGGAGTCTCCCTCATTTGCCCAGACTGGAGTGTAGTGGCCGCTCCCAGCCACCACAGCCTCGACCTGCTGGGCTCCGGCAATCCTTCTGCCTCAGCCTTTCAAGTAGCTGGAACTACAGGCGCGCGCTACCACGCCCGGCTAATTTTTTTTGATTTATTGTAGAGATGAGGTCTCACCAAATTGCCCAGGTGGATCTCGAACCCGTGGGCTTAGGCAGTTCACTCACCTCGGCCTCCCAAAGCGGGGGATTACAGGCTGAGCCACCAAGCCCGGCCTATATTTCTTTTTTAAACATATTCCAGAAGTTAATAATTGCTTCTTTTTTATTTTTGTATTTTTAAAATTTATTTATTAACTTGCCAGTAACCTCTCAATGTGATTTTCCCCAAGATCAAAAATATCAATTATATCTCTTGTTTCTCAACCCTATCCTTTTTCTCCTGAAACCCTTTTTATTCCTACCCCCTCCAGATCTGCTGTGTGACTCCTATCCTGAGGCTTCCCTTAGTCATCACTCTGAGTGTTAGGTTCTCCTCCACATTATATTCCTTATTTTCTAGTGCTCTTGGCTTCCTCTTTCTTGGTTTACTGCCTTATTTTGATGGAGCATATCCTACTTTGTATATTGGAGGAAATTTCTTGAGACGTATACATTTGAAAATGTCTACCTTTATACAGGATTGATGATTTAGCTGGATTTAAAATTAATAGTTTATTTTTTTCTGATGAATATACCTTCTTTCTTTTGTGGAGGTAGAGAAGGGATTGTTACTTAGCTGCCAGGAATAAGGGTATGGATTTATCAAGTCTAACTGCATGTTCTGCATATTTTAAACCAGTTTTCTCATTTACTACTTCATACCTCACTCCACCTTCATGATTGTCAGTACTCTTACTGAGTCTTTCTGATGCTTACTAGGAGAATCCCTCTTGTTTGGCCTTGTTATCTTCTCCTACAGACAGTTAGGTTTCAGCTTCCTCTATACTTCCTCTGTACTGCCAAATCAGTTATGATTTTTCCTTGTGCTTTTTATCTTCTGAAAATTTTGAATATGTCTCATCTACTTTTGTCAGTCTGTGTGTGTGTGTAGATTTATGTATTTGTATATCTATTTTATTTAAGTGAAATTTGGAGTGGGATCAGGGATAATCACCTGTGTTCAAACCCTCAGGTTTAACTTGCATTCCTGAGACTTGTCTTTAATGTATAGTACCATATATGAGACAGTTTGTTCTGGTTGAGATACACATTTGTCTTCATGTGTTCTAAAGGATTATCTGAGAGAAGAGAAAAAGTAAACTTGATTTGATTCCTTTTGCTAACTCACAGTCCTTTAGCATACGTACAAATTTTCCCATGACCTATCTGAATCAGTAAGGCTGACAGGCATATTGTGAAATGCACATCAAGCCAAGGAAGATAGATTCTTCAATGTATGTTCTTACCACCTGATCAAATGATACATTTTGTTCACAGTTGTTATGTAAATGTAGGGGAAAAAAATCTCTCAGTCTATAAGGATAAAGGATTAAGATGTAGCGGACAGAGCTATTAAAATGTGTGAATTTTTACAATGTTTTCCTCTGCCATCCTTTGACCCCGAATGACAGTGCATCTGAACATTCTAGCTCTGTCTTGTTTTTATCTTTCTTTTAAAATTTCTTATTTGAGTGTTCCAAAGATGAGAGTTGTATTGATCAGATCTTGAAAAAGTATCCAAAGACAGTTGACTTCATCTAATAACCTCTTGAGTAAGGATGAAGCTAGCTGAGTTTTTTCTTTCTTTTAATGTCTCTATTTCTTCTTCTACCTGAAGAAAAGCACTGTTCCAGTGATCAGAGTGAGCAGATGATATATACTGGATGCAAATAAAAGAATGATTGGTAAAGGAAAAGCTTAAGGTGACAGTGCTTTTGATGAAAGCAAACTAATGGTTTGAAAAAAAGTAAGGAAATTTCTGGTTGGAAAGGACAGATTTAACATATGTATTTGTCTCTACTCCCTGCATCTGTGTACCACAACATGTCACTGAAAGAACAAATAAAATACGTAAAGCTACGAATGACAGCAAACAAGAAATATCAGTAAAAATTTGGAAGCCATAAAGCAGCTAGACAAATGGCAGATGACTTAGCAGACTAGAGAAAGCTAAGTGCCTAATGAAGGTAAAGCCAATAACCTAGTTTATTTGTGTAAAAATATATTAGTAAGACTCAGGAATTAGAAGCTGCAGATGCTATTGTGATTGCATAGATGCAGGTGAGCCAGAAAATAGGCTTGGTTGAAATTCACATTCTTGAAAATGAACAGGCATTTGATAAAATCATGAAAGAAACGTAGGCTATTATAATAAATAAAAAGCACTCTGAGGAAACAGAGATAATACAGTGAACAGAAATAAACATTAAAAACAAACAGGCTGGGCTCGGTGGCTCAACCTGTAATCCCAGCACTTTGGGAGGCTGAGGTGAGCAGATTGCCTGAGCCTGCGGGTTTGAGACCAGCCGGGCAACTTGGTGAGACCTTGTCTCTACAGTAAATAAAAAATTAGCCGGGTGTGGTAGCATGTGCCTGTAGTTCTGGCTACTTGGAAGGCTAAGGCGGAAGGATTGCCTAAGCCTAGCAGGTCAAGGCTGTGGTGGCTGTGAGTGTGCCACTGCACTCCAGACTGGGTGACAGTGAGACTGACAACAACAACAAAAAAAAACCCCAAAACGAAAAACAAACAAGCAAACTAGAGTTAATATTGTCAGAGAACTAAATGAAGCTGTTATATACTGAAACAAGAACAGGGTGCTATAAAAAAAGGAACTTTCAGGGAATTAAAAAAAGTTCTTAGAAATTAGAAACATGGATGAAATAAACTCACTAGAAGGATTAGAAAAAAAGACAACTCTCTCAGGCAGTAAAATAAAGTCAAGAAGGTAGACAATAGAGAAGAAATATTTTTTAAATTAGAGGGTTATTCTAGTAGATCCAACATCTGAATATTTGGAGTTCTAGAATGTGGGAAAAGGAAAAAGGAGCAATGGGAAATTATCAAAGAAATATTAGAAGAAATCTTCCTAGAAGATTGTTAGTCTTTAGATTGAAAGCATTAATCAGTTGTCCACTGTGAGTGAGTGAATAAAACAGAACATACCATGGCACTTCATTATGAAAGGGAAATTTGAGCATCCCTGTGTAAGGAGGAGATGACAAGATTTCAGAGGGCAAAAATGACACATTCAAATAGTCAGAAATGAGAAGGGCATATTGTTTTTAATAGCAACACTGGAAGTTAGACGATATTAGAGCCTACTTTTAAAATTTGACCTAGGATTATATGCTCAACTAACTTATCAGTTAAAGATAAAAACATATTTAGGTGAGCAAAGTGTTTAAAAATTTAGTTCCCATATATCTACTGTTTTTTAGTAAGCTACTGGAGGGGTGTACATTAAAAGAGAGGAAGACTTGGGATTTAGGAAACTTAGCCTCTACCGTGGAACTTTCAGAAAAATGTCAAAAGCCATTTCCAGGAGAATTTTTCCGTAAGCATAGAAAGCAATTAGTCCAGATTAGAGTAGGGGGACAGAGGACTTCAATGGGGATGATTCTCCCAGGGGAAAGCAGAGTGGGGAAGGTTAAAAAGAAGAAGAAAATGGATGCATTACTTGATATGTTAGAAAGTACTGGAAGTACCCTTGTATATCTCTCACTGTTTGGGGATAAATGAGTGATAGGAGGATTATAGAAAGATATATAAATATAAAAACAAGGTAATCACTTCTGCTTCTAGTAATGACACACTTGGTAATTTGGACCACCTCCCCCACTGAGGATAACTGTTAATAGAAAAGCTGTATTAAAAATAAAACCTACTGGGCTCAGTGGCTCAGCCTGTAATCCCAGCACTTTGGGAGGCCAAGGCAAGTGGATTTCTTGAGCCCACAGGTTCAAGACCAGCCTGAGCAATTTGGTGAGACCTCGTCTCTACAGTAAATCAGAAATTAGCTGGGTGTGGTAGCATGCACCTGTAGTTCCAGCTACTTGGAAAGCTGAGGCAGAAGGATCACCAGAGCCCAGCAGGTCGATGCTGAGGTGACCTTGAGCATACCACTGTACTCCAGCCTGGGTGACGGAGTGAGGCTCCAACTCAAAAAAAAACCTATATGCTTGAAGGCGTCAAGAAGTTAACTAGATAGTGAATAACTGAGCCAGAATCCTGGAGAAGACAGAGACCAGGGAGGTTAGCTCATTGTTTGGCACTGGATAGTCAGTTTTAGGGGGAGATGAGCAGCATTTGTTTGTTTTGAGTTGGAGTCCCACTCTGTTGCCCAGACTGGAGTGCAGTGGCACACTCACAACCACTGCAGCGTCGACCTTGATCCTTCTGCCTCAGCCTTCCAAGTAGCTGGTACTACAGGTGTGTGCTACCATGCCAAGCTATTTTTTTTTAAATTTATAGTAGAGACGAAGTCTCACCAAGTTGCCCAGGCTGGTCTTAAACCCCTGAGCTCAGACAGTCCTCTTGCTTTGGCCTCTCAAAATGCTGGGATTACAAGCTTGAGCCACGACATCTGGCCTCCAATCTGGAATTTTAAGCCCAGTGAAATACATATCAAGAAGCAAGGTGACAAGAGACATTGCAAACAAAGCTGAGAAAATTTATTGCCAGTAGCTTGGCGTGGTGGCTCTTGCCTGTAATCCTAGCACTTTGGGATGCCGAGGTGAGAGGATTGCCTGAGCCCAGGAGTTCAAGACCAGCCTGGACAACATGGCAAGACCCTTGTCTCTAGAGTAAATCAAAATAGTGGGTGTGGTGGTATGCACCTGTAGTCCCAGCTACTTGGAAGGCTAAGACAGAAGGATTGCGTGAACCCAGGAAGTCAAGGCTACAGTAGATGTGATTGTGCCACAGCACACTAGCCTGGGTGACAGAGTGAGACTCTGACTCAAAAAAAAAAAAAAAAAAGAAAAGAAAAAGAAAATTTATTGCCAATAAACTTTATCACAGGAAATATTAAAAGGATATTTTTCAGGCCAGAATAAAATAGTCACAGATGGAAAGTCAAAAATATAGGAAGCCATGAATTTTAAAATCAGATACAAATGACTATTGTCTGTATGAAACAATAATACTGATGTTTTATGGGTATATGTATGGGTTTCCATACACATTTAAAGTACACAATAACAGGCTGGGTGTGGTGGCTTACGCCTATAATCTCAGCACTTTGGGATGTTAAGGCGAGTATTGCTTGAGCCCAGGAGTTCAAGACCAGCCTGGGCAACATAGTGAGACCTCGTCTCTACCCCTACTCCAAAAAAATAAATAAATAAATTAGCCATACATGAGGGCATATATCTGTAGTCCTAGCTACTTGGGAGGCTGAGATGAGAGGATCACTTGAGGCCAGGAGTCAAGGCTGCAGTGAGCTGGGATTATGCCACTGCGTTCCAGTCTGGGCAACAGAGTGAATGAAACCTGTCTCAAAAAAAAAAACAACAAACCCCCCCCCCCCCCACAGTAACAGTTGCGTATAAGATATAAGTTAGGAAGGAGATAAATGGAGCCAGTATTTTTTGGTTTTTTTGAGTTGGAGTCTCACTCTGTCACCCAGGTTGGAGTGCAGTGGCGTGCTCACAACCACCTCAGCCTCGACCTGCTGGGCTCAGGTGATCCTTCCACCTCCGCCTTCCATGTAGCTGAAATTACAGGCACACGCCACCACACCTGGCTAATTTTTTGATTTATTGTAGAGAATGAGGTCTTGCCAATTTGCCCAGGCTGGTCTCAAACCCACAGGCTTAGGCAGTCCTCTCATCTCTGCCTCCCAAAGTACTGGGATTATAGGCGTGAGCCACCATGCCTGGCTATGGAGTTAGTATTCTCAGGTTCTTGTATTGTATGGGAGAAGGTAAGAATATCAATTAATGTTAGGTGTGAAGTCATGGATGTTTGTTGTAATCTAGGATGGCCACCAAAAGAATAATAAAAGTGTATATAATATCCAAGTTAATACAGAAGGAAGAATGTAATTAAAAAGTACAAAATCTAAAAGGTGAGAAAGAAAAGAGAACAAAGAGAAATTGGCTATTCTTGGCCTTTTGTATTTCCATTTAGATTTTAGAACTGACTTGTTAAGTTCCCCAGCTGAGTAAAAGCATGGCTCCTATATCTGGCAGTACATGCCTTTAGGTGTGTTGTTTGTCTTACAGCTTTTCAGAAGAGCTGGTAGATGAAGCTTTGGGGGCCGTGGCTGCTGAACTGCAGGATATGTGTGAAGATTATGCAGAAGCCGTGTTCACCTCAGAATTCTTAGAGGCTGCTGTATAAAGGCTTTCCAGGGCAGGGCCCACTCATCACACTGGAGAGGGATGGCACCACCCTTTGTTTCCGCCCACCGGAGATGCTTGTCTTCAGCTGCCCATCCAAGCCCAGAAGGTGCTGCCCACTGAAAGGAAGGCAGTGTCCTTGAGGTCATCCTCACCTTGCATTTTCTCTTAGTCATAGCAGTGGTTCTGGAGGTTTATGATGGAATGTATTACATGTATCAGTGCCCAGGAAACATGAATCAATTATGGCAACATAATGTTTTCAGACTGTATAATTTTCCTATGGAAATATTGTGTTCATTCCTCTGACTCAGTGTGATGATCACAGTGTTTTGAAAGGTAATAGATACGTGTATTTCACACATGAGGGCTGGTCGCCAGTTGCTCTTGAACTCAGTGCCACCTATTAGCTGGTGAGGACACCAGGCTCATGGTTTGTATTTTTAGTGATTTCCTGCCAGGACCCCTGTGCCTACTAGGTCATAGACTTGAGCACAGTTTGGTTATGCTGCCAACCTGCTCTGTTGCAGATCATTAAAAATAGGAGCCCACCAGTTATCAGCGCACAATAATAAACACACATTCTGAACATTCTTTTAATGTTCAGTTCCTAGGTGATTTTCACATGTTTAGTTCCTCGACATCTTTTATTGCTGTGTTGACACTTTCTGGTATAAAAATCTTTCTCTGAATTCAGAGGATATTCAGGGACATCAGGAGAGTACCAGGCCTTCTCCTGTGCCTGGCTAGAGGTACAGAGGTCAGAAGTGGAGAACAAATGAATGGGTGAAGACCTCTGGGTCTCCCCAAAGAAAGTAAAGAACTCAAGAATTGTAGTACCTTGGTCCCTGAGCCTCTTACAAGTCATAGTTTAGCAAGAGAAAAGCCTCTATGTTTTCAGAAACTCTGAATTCAGAAAAAGAAAAGGAATGTGCCTAAGAATAAGGCCACTGTCTGGAAAAAGTTTCCTTCAGTTTTTTGCCTGAGGCATGGTGAAATGTGGAGAAAGAATGCCTTGAGACACCCCCAGGGAATAATGTGAGTCTTTTTATAACACGTAAAGTGTTGTTATCTGGGATTTTTTTTGAAGTACAGTATTTCAGGTGATAATTTGAGCTGTTTGATCACACCTATTTGTGCAAAATTGATTTTCGTTTAATGTTAATGTTTTCCTGCCTAATTTTATGTAACTTCAGAATTTAAAGAGCTTCAAGAGAAATTACAGCTCTCTAATCTGGGGAGTTAAATGTGTACACTTGAATTGATAGGAGCACCTGTCGTTGCTAGTATAAAGTAATTTGTGTGGCAGTTTCTACTGTGCTGATTTTTAAGAATAAACTCAATATTTTAAAGTATGTACCTGTCTATTTGAATTAATTTACATCTCCTTTTTTTCCACAGGCAAAGTGAAATGTGATTTACAGGAACCACTGCGAATACTTTTGTATTTGATAAGAACGTAGTAGATTGTTTGCCACCCTCTCCCTGCCAGAAAAAAAATAAATGATCATAAACACTAGCATTTACTGAGCACATACTAGAGCATTACTCTTAGTGCTCTGCATGTATGAACTTACTTAATCCTCAAGTTATCTGTGTGAGATGAATACCATTATTAGTCCCATTTTATAGATGAATAAAGTGAGGCACAGCGGGAGAGAATTTGATTAAACAAGCCTGTATTTCATGATGCCACATTCATGGCTTCACTTATTTCCACAAAGATAATTGTAGCAATTTTGAGAGTTCACTTGTGTGCATTTTCCTGCCTTTCCTTGTCTCCACTCAGCATGTCCTGGATATGGTCCTTTGAGCAGTCCCTTTCCTAATATTCCTGCTGCAATTCATCTACCGTTCAGGGTTTTTCCAGTCTCTTTCCTGCTCTGCCCACCATATGGATCTCCCCATCTCTGAATCCTGTGGCCGGGGGTGGGGGGGTGGGCTTATACCTCCCTCCATGTGCAGGTGTCTGCTTTATAGTCTTGGCTCATTGTGAATGTCTGCAGCCAGATCATTCTCCAAAGACAAAAGTAAACTGCAAGAAATAAAAACCTTTATTTGAAAAATGAGAGTTGAATCCTTAGAATATAAAAGTTCCTGTTTATTGCCTTGCAGTCAGCCCAGACCTCTGGAAATTCTGTTCTTCACGAATGAGGGCTGGTCGCATGTAACTCATTTGCTAATTCCCTTAAGTTTTCTCACAACCTATTCGTGTACTATTTTCGGAAGCAGGGACATGCATGACTTTAGTATTTTTGTGCTACATAGGCTGTCCCCAATGTACAGCGATGCCAAAATGCATGAATATGCTTTTAGCACTCCCCACTCGGAGCCCTCCAGCATCACAGCCCTGGTCACGTTGGGTTTTTATGTGTTTCCATGCTTGGGTCTAGTCTGTTTAGCTTTCTGAGGACAGGACCTATTCCTAGCTTGCTATTGGTGCTCAACAATAAGAAAGGCACACTTTCTTGGGGAAACTGGTTTTGTAAGGGGGTCTATCATCTCAGCATAGTCCACAGAAATCTATGTTGACCTTTTGTGACCCTGAAATAGAATGCCATCAGAACTGTAGATCTCATCTCGGAGGTACTGCCACCATTGGAATTCCAACTTGATGGCAAGAACTTGCCTTCTCGAGCAGGGTATGTGTGTATAGAGACAAAAGTGACTCCCATCTTGGATGCTGCCTGCCATGTTGACTTTTGGTTAGCCACAGTCCCATGGACGCCTCCTGATTTCTACTTTATATACTGTCCCAAATGTAAGAACATATACTCACTAGAAATCCTGCCTTTAGATCAAAGCAACCTTAATGTTATGGCACAAACTATAGGTTATGATGCTTACGGCATTCTTGCCTGTTCTTACAAAGAACACACATTGTCTTACAGAGAGCACACATCCTTTTCCTGTGGTATGTAAGCTTTGGGTCTGGGGAGTAACACTGGAGGTATATCTACCCGTTTTGCAGCTGCCCAAGACTACACTTCTGTCTGTAGGTTCCCTCAGTAAATCACCCAAAGCCGACAAGCTGGATTTGCCTGCCTCCTCCTCTGGTTTTTCAACTCCTTTGGCACTTGGGAGTTTCTCTCAGCCTGGAGGGACCTGCTGCTCCTGGCCCTAAGGGAGCCTTGGTCAGGTTGCTCCTGGAGATTGGATTGGGGTAGGTCCTGAGGCTGGAGAAGAGGACGGGGATGTGATGGGGGGCCCATAAGAATGGCTCCTTCTCCTTCCCCTGTGTCCCTTCTGGTTTCAGCACTGTGGCTCTTTCTGCCTCTGCTGTTTGATGCTGGGGTTTGGAGGAGGGAAGGGCTTCTCTCTCTCCACTCCCCCCCTGGGCTCACAGTCCCTGCTTCCCTGAAGGTGGGCCGAGTGTGTATATGTTGGGGGAATGGCAGGCTGGAGGCATGACCTGCTGCACTGTGGCCAGTGGGTCTGAAAGGTGAGAGTAAGGGCCTGAGCACAGCCCCAAGGCCAACAGCAAGGGGAGGCCCCTGTGTTCTCTGTGGCACGGTATAGGTTTCCTTAACTCTTCTGTGTTTCTGAGAGGAGCTGTTTTTGTTTTAGCAACTTGAGGCAATGATGGGAAGTCCCTGTGAAACCTGCACATCAGGGGTGTCTGCATCACCCTGGAAAGGCCCTCTGGGAGGGCCAGCATGTGAGCGCTCCTCGTTCTCTGGGCTCCTGAAGGGCGGCAGAAGGGCACATGCCATCCTTATGCTGCCTTAGTGGTGTCATTCATTCCCCATGACACTCTGAGTCTTCTAGTTTTTATCCCTCCGTCGGCCCATTCCAGTACTTCAAAGTCCTTTGTGGAGAAACTTTAACAGTTCCCTAGTAGTTTCTGGAGCCCCTTTATACCAAAAAGCACCCTTACACCATCTCCAAACCCAACAGGAAGATGTCACTGAGACACCGCCTACCTCGAAGTCCTCATCTCTGAAACTCCCCCCGCCCCCCTGCCGCCCCTCACTGCTGGCCCTTTGCTTCCACTGCAACCCTGCACCCCGTCCCCTTCTGTACTTCCCTCTTGGGACCTCTCCCTCTGGCATTGCTATATGTCCTCCACCGCCCTGCTCTCTGCCTCCCTCCCTGAACCTAGTCATGCGTTTTCCTTCTGCTCTGCTTGGCTCCTGAGGATCGCTTCTCCACCCACACAACATTCCTGTCTTCACTGTCAGTCTTGGTGAGGTCAGTCGGAGACTGCCCACTCATGAGCTGCGAGCCTTGCAGGAAGTCACTGTGCCTGTGCCCAGAAGCCCACTGCACATTCCCGCCACCCACCAGAGTAGGGAGACTTCTGACTCCAAAATGCTGTGATCAAGAGGTGCAGGAGCATTCAGATCCCGTACCCGTGGGCTCTGACATCTACCCTACAGCGTGAGTTCCTGGTGCCTGAGCTGAGCTTGACCTAGGAAGCCCCCAGCAGACAGTGATTCCTCAGGGGCACATGGGAAGCAGGGAGTCCAGGCAGTCATGGTGATCAAACTGGCCACCATCCCACATGGCCCTAAAGACCTCCTGGGAGACAGTCCCAACTCAGGGCCAGGCTAGTAAGAGAGGTGGTTCTCCTTAACCATCACTGTCCAACACACTGCTTTCTGAGAATTACCTAGAGGCCAAGAGAAGGCATAGGAGTACTTTGGCTTGAACAGCATCTCACTTCTACCTGGCACTTTACAATCTACCAAGTGCCTTTGAACATATTCTTTCTTTTGTTTACTATAACCATCCCTGCTTTGTGTACCAGCAGTAATTCGGCTGGTTAAGAATTCAAGCCATGGCTAAAATCCTGTGCAACTTCCATGCCTCAGTTTCCTAATATGTGAAAGGGGGATAAAAGTAGTACCCTCCCAGGGTTATTGTAAGAATTAAGGGAAATATCCATGTAAAGACTTAGAATCGCATCTGGTGGACAGCAAACTCAATACATGTCACCCATTCGTTTTACCATGGAGAGCCTTGTAAGAGGGAGCATCTTAGCCTGTTCTCACGGGCTTGGTTCCGAAGTGCTTTCCTTGTCTTCTTCCACCCATTGTCTTCTTTCCTGCTAACAATTTTCTCTCCTTGCCTAACCCTTCAAACTGGACCCATGGCAACACGTTTTCTATCCTTGCCTTTGGCCACCCTGAGCTGGTTCCCCACTCTAACTGGCCTGCCTGGACTGCCTCAGATAGATGTCCTTCCTAGAGGAAGGGTTTCCAGTGCCACCTGAACTTTCTAAACTGGACTACATTCTTGAGGGGTGGATGAAGTATGAGCCCCATTTTACAGATGAAGAAACTGAGGTTTATAAGAATTAAGGGACTTAGTGTCCTACAGACTCAGTGTCAGAGCCAGAACTCAGTCTGGATCTTTTGTCTTCAAATCTAGTATCCTTTCTATTCTGTCACACAGTTTTGTCCTTCTTCCAAGAAGATGATTCCGGGATGGCCTAGAAAAATCTTAAGGAGATGTCAAATGTAAGTGTAATCTCTATTTTTTAAAAGTCAGCGAATATTTACTATGGTCCTGCTCTTGGCCAGGCACTGTGCTTACTTCTGGGTGTATAAGGACAACTATGATGTACTTCTCACTCTCCTAACATAGCCCCGCACAGTGACCAGGTCAGAGCTGAGTTTCTGCCTCAGTTTCCGTCACTCCATCATAACCTGCCTCCCTCAGCGCTGCATTCCTGCTAGGGCTGAGTCCTGCACAGAACCCGCCCACAGAGTAATGATGATAACTCTACTGCTTGAGTGCTATATCCTAGGGGCTTTATTTACACTACTTCATTGGATTCTTACACTTGTACTGAAATACAGATTATTAACCCATTTTACATATGGAACTGAAACCAAGCAAAGTGCAGATTTCCCCAGTTTGAAAGTGGTTGTTACAGACCTGACTATAAATTGTGTGCTTCTCCCAGTGTACTGCAGTGCCACTCCCTGGGCCCTGGCATCCAACCTGCCTCTGACCAGGTACCTCCTCCCAGAATCTCCTGCCAAGGGCCAGGGCACTGCTCTGAAGGTACAGGTCAGGCTGCAACCACACACTGTGCTGTGGTCTCACCTGTGATCTTGGCAGCCTGTGCCAGGTGACAATGTGTGAATTGGACATGCCGGTACAAACCCTATCCTGGCCGTACCTGGGCTTGCTGTGCCCGCCGAGCACTGTTCTGGCCCCTCCCAGGCCAGTGTCCCCAGCTCTCTAGTTTCCTCCCCTGCCTCCCAAAGGCATCATTCTCAGGCAGCCTCTCCCCACATAGTGGCAAGATGGGTACCAACAGCCTCAGCCTGATGTTGTGTGTATTTAGCAACCACAGCAGAAAGAAGCCCCTTATTCCCAAGAGGGCCAACTGGGTTACTACTCC